TCTGTCAATTTCCATATAAATGTCACGCAAGAATAAGCAATGCAATTTCCTATCTCTTTTACGAAGAAAAGCTTTGAACAAATACCTTCTCCGTAACTGTTATAAATTCTTGGGTGAGATCATATATGCTCATGAACTCCTGCAATTTCAATTTTGGATGAAGAAGAGCACGGACTCCTAGTAGCTTTGCCCACCTACCATGAGTAACCTCACAGGCCGCGAAGACAGCTTCTGTGTTTTCTCTCAAGACATCGGCCCTATATAAATAAGAAAAAAGGCTAATTTAGTTCCAAGCATAGAACAAAAGCTTGTGTTAGAAGCAACTTCGACAATTTGGAAGAGTGCATAAATAAACTAGAAAACCTGAAGTTTCTTGATATGTTCATCAAGCTTGATGGGTCGCTTGATTTTCCCTGCAATGGAAGGGCCTTTGAGGTAGCCTTACCCAATGGAGAAGACACTAAAGACCCGCCTTGCACACCTGTTTCCTGGGCTGATTCGGCCGCTACAGCACCAACAGCAATTGCAGCTGCAACGGAATCTGCTGCATAATGTCCATCGACATTGCAGAGGATCCATTCAATTGCCTTTTTCACTTCCGAAGCCCGGACTAGATGTGCCTGCATTCACTAAATGAAATGAAATCATATTACATCTTAATCAATTATCTAACTGCATCAGAGGGTGAAAGGTTCCAAACTTCTATAAGGTAGATGTATCAAAACCAAAATAGGTATAACTTCCTATAATGCTTGTTTAAATAATTGAAGGTTCCTAATTGATGCATATATTACCTGAACAATCCTAAATATAGCAGTTAAGAGATTAACAAATGCCTCAGATGACAGAGTCCTCAACTTGCTCGCGAGGGATAAGCCGCCACCTGTATACGCATTACGAATAAGCATGGACTTTGGAGAGAGAAAAAAAAACTACTACCACCGATGTAGAAAACAATATCCTAAGAGAAAAATAAAATTTCAATCATTAAATTAAGTTTTCAGCCAACATACTTCATCAGTTGACCAATTAACATGTAAATTACGTCCCACTGGGGTCTCAGATCAAATTAGTAAACAAGGAGAAAACAATCAAATGTGAATATACAGAAATTTCACACTTATCAAGTACTAAACTTATGTACAACTATGTTTCCATGCACAAACTAAGTCACATGACAATCTTAATACATAGTAATCTCACCATCAACATCTACTGAGCGCTCCCCATGTGAAAAATCAGATTCGAGCGATCTTGCAACAAGAATTGGAAGCAGCTCAGCAACTGCGTTCTTGATTGCATTTTTCATTTCGGTTGTGAGTGCATCACGATACATCCTCAAAATTGAAGGGAACTTTGCCTACAGAAAACAGTCCAAACAAAAACAAAACAAAAAAAATGAAAAACTGGATTCAGGCTAAAGTTAAACACTTAATGAGCACTATAAACCAACAATAATGTCCAGAGAGAGCATAAACGAAGAAATTATAACAATAAAGCACTGACAACTTCAGTGGTAGCATATGTTGAAAAATAGTCAGGACCGGCCACTCACCGTTCTTAGCAATCCAATTACTAGAGGAAGAAGACGATCACATAAGGTGGAGGTATCCTCTTCTTCTAGCTCCACCTGCAAAGGTTGTAAGCTTGATATTCAGAGTCATGCTGGATATTGTTCCAGTTTTTTTTCTGATTAATCTACCACTTCTCACAGTTTAGGATCTTCTATTCAGTTTTTACATTCACAATTAAGCTCCACATAGTACAAAAAGCTCCGAATTCATTAAATATTATGCATTTGTATCGGATGAGACTTACTTCATCACCGGTCTCCCCGTTAGATGAAAGGGATCCCCGTTTTTTTGCTGCAGATAAAATCAGTACATCTATTTCCCCAGTATTGTGTATTGATATACGCATAAATTCTGCTGTGAGTATACTACAAAGAAAAAATCAACAAGCCATCAGACACTAGACCAAATAAAAAAATGAAAGAGAGTAAAAAGAGAAATAGGACATGTAATATAGAAGGTAAACTAATATTATGAACCACCACGAAACAGCACTACCAAAGAAAATCAATATACCAAACATTTAATTGACACAAATGCCTATTGGTTGTACAATGTACTACAACTTCGAAGGTATATATAACTGAATCTAAGTAATGAAGACCAAAGTACATTCAATCCCAAACCAGGATTCATCATAATAGCAGAAATTTAGCCAGCAAGGCATTACCGCATGAAATACACGAGTTGAGGGGAAGGTCAAGAGTTCAGAAGTTATGATTGATTAGTCATAGGATGCTACAAGCTATCAGACAGAAAAAATCTCAACCACGATTAACATCTCAAATTCTCAATAGATGGCAGATGGACCAAGCACCGGAAACATGAAAGGATTGATTTTACAGTAAGAAACAGTAATCTTTACAGATTATACAGACTATTTGCTATGAACAAACCAGAGCTCCAAAAGAATTTAGAAGAGAAGACAAAAAAAAGAGTTGCAAAACCCTGTAAACATTTTTCAAAATATCGACTGTCTTCACCCAAGAGGTTCAACAGCAAAACTCAAAATGCAATTACTAGATCACTTTATCACCTATTCTCTACATAATGGAATTCAAATTTAGTTAGTTGTTTCGTAAGGTACTTGGCACAATTAACATGAAATCCGTCTGGGTCTCATTGTGTTCCCATTTCATCCACGAACATAAGAAACACTTTATTGCCGTTAAAACAAAAGCTTGAAAAAATTAAGGCTTCTCTTAACATAGCATTACAGGCAGACTAAATACAGCCTATCTTAGTCAGTTACCATAACCTGAAAAGAGACGCACCTGTTTATGGAATCTATGGAAGTAGTGACATGATCTCGAAGATGTCGGAAGCAATGTAGACCAGTTAGCTCATCCCCAGCCTAATAAAAATGGAAAAGCATTTCAGCTTCTTAAGAAATAGAACCCTAACCATCTAAAAGTATCCAACAGTAACAGTGATCACAGATGAACTTACCAACAAGTTCTGAAGATCGTCAGTTATATCCAAAGCTCCAGCACAATCTGCGGACGCAACAAGCTGAACAATAATGAATCAAACTTCCATCAAGAAAAAGGCGAAATAAACAAAAGTAGCTAACTTGACACCACTCTAAGCAAACCAGTAAGAAAAATTATTACCAATTTGAGTGCAGAGAGAGCTTGGTTAACATACAAAATAAGTCTCAATTTACGTTGCAGCTCCAACATATTAATCCTAGTAGAGCTCAGCTCTTGAATCTGTCGAGCTGAATCTACCAAATTCCTATCCAGGAGCCGAATAGTTTCTTTCAACTCGCGGATCCTACTACAACCCTCAACAATCTTCACATTCAAATCCTGTAACTGCCCCTGAGCCTCGAAGAACGAATCGGACCTCACGGAGATCTCCTTAACAAGATGCAGCTCCACCACATCAAGATACTGAGACAGCTTCTCTTGAAGCGCTAGATTCTCCGTCAGGCTCGAGAAAGGGCAAGCAGAACGAAATGTAGCTCCGTCCTCGAGGGCAAAGTCCTCCTTGAAGTAGAGTGAAGGAACCTCACGCAGGCACGCAGCTAAACCCGATACGTGGCTCTCCTGATCAAACCCAGAGCTCTCTTCCCTAGTGTGGTTCCTGATATCCTCAAACCTACCATGAGACTCAGAGATCGACGAGACGTAGCCATGGAAGTCGGATCTGGTCAGCTCCGAACCCGGTAGCTTCGTTGAAGCAACAGGTGCGAACTCAGACGGAGCAACAAACGTCGAAGACGACCACCAACCAACCCAAGACGCATCGGAACCATAGACACCAGACTTCCCTCCATGTGGATTGTTAAGGATCGAAGAGAGACTCTGGCTACTTGCATCCGAGATCGATTTGGTTAACGATGAAGGAGAAGAAGACGAAGACGAAGAACGGCCAAGATCTAAGCTCGATCGGTTAGTGTTGCCACTGGACCTTCCCATAAAGGAAGGCTGCGAATCCATAAGGACCTCACGAAATCAAAATCATGAACTACCAAAACTGATTTTTCCTTCAGAAATTTACAACAAGTTGATCTGGGGAAAATACTGGATTTCGAAATCGGAGAGATCTTTGGGATTTTTAAGAGAATGGATCGAATCGAAATTGTTTATTTGTGAACCAAAAAAAATGGGAGAGAGTTGGATCTGGAGAGAAGCAAGAACACAGGGGAGGACTGAGGAAGCCCTCTGGGTCGAGACTTTGGGAGATGGTTCGAGAGGTGGTGGTGACCAGTGCGGTGTTTCACTGCAAAGATTCAATCGACGATGGATTAGGTATCCACGTCACTTATGCTTGATGCTGTGACTAAAATGTAAAATTTCTGATTTTGGCTTTTCTATGCTACTAAAAAGAAAAAAATCACAATTGTTGAATATGATCCGATTATTTGCATTTTGCATATAAATCTATTTTTTTCATTTCAATGAAACAAATATAGTTGTCATAGTACATTTGTAAAAGTTTCCATTTGAAATATAAAGAAAAGTGTTTTTTTTTTTAATATAAGTTAACATATTTAAAAAAAAAAAGTTTCCATTTGTTTCATTACAATATATCGCGCATGGAATTATTCAGGTGAAGATTCTTTAGTATATACAGTACTAGTTTTCATATGATTCTTCATACCAATCTCCGACATCAAAACAGAGATATCATTACATCTTTAGTTGTGAGTTGTAAGTCTTGTGAAACTCTACTATTTCTCCTTGTTCTGTATCAATGGGTCTCGTCTCTAGCAGATAATTATATCTCAATATGGTTTGCTTCCACCTTACTCTAATATTCCCATTGAGAAAACTAAATTCTGGTAGTTTTTTTTTTTTTTGCCCTGATAGCCTCTCCACCGAGTCTGCCCATCACCAGTTAAAACCGTTTAGACTACTTGAGTACATGAAAACCGTACAACAACATTTCATCAGTTTTTATCAGTTACAAACTCCCAGAACAATGTGTATGAGTAATCTCAAGCTTGTTTTCATTTGGTGGGTCTAAAGTCCAAGATCTCACATGTTTGGAATTGCTGCCTTTCTCTGGCTGCTCTCGGTTATTAGAGATGTATCTCACTGATTGTAATCTGTACAAGTTGTCGGACAACTTTAGCTGCTTATATCCTCGCTGCGGTCTTTGTGTTTGAGCTGAAACAACATCAAGAATCTACCTGGAAGCATCAAGAAACTTCATCTTCTCAAGTCTCTTTACTTGAAGCATTGTCAAAAGCTCATTTCTCTTTCAATTCTTCCATCAAATCTGCAGTACTTGGATGCTCATGGTTGTATCTCACTCGAAACAGTAGCAAAACCCATGATGCTTATTGTGGTAGCTGAAAGGACCCACTCTACTTTCGTCTTTACTGATTGTTTCAAGCTTAACGGAGATGCACAAGAAAATATTGTGGCTCATGCTCAACTCAAGAGTCAAATACTGGGGAATGGATCTCTTCAACGTAATCATAAGGTCCCATCTCTTTTTACTCTGGTTATTATTCCAGAGACAGTTCCATTTACCTATCATGCTTAAAGCCTTAAACTGTTCTTTGGTTTCATCATTTCAGGGACTAGTAATGGAACCTTTAGCTGGTGTAAGTTTTCCAGGAAACGATTTGCCATTATGGTTCCGTCATCAGATAATAGGATCTTCCATGGAAACCGACCTGCTTCCACACTGGTGCGACGATAAATTCATCGGGTTTTCTCTCTGTGCGGTTGTCTCGTTCAATGACTATGAAGATAAAACTGTTGGTTTTCCTCCTAGTGGGGAAACCAATTGGATTTGGTTAAGAGAGAACCATGAGATTATTAGTGGGTTTAGGGTTATGTGGAAGTTCAATAGCTTCTCTTAACCTGTATATAAGTGGCAACTAAATGTCATTGAGACAAGAGAGAGTGATTTTTGGAGACCAGAGAGGAAGATAAACAGTTTTTGTCAGATTCTGTTCAGGGCAACGTTTGGAGGCTTTGCAGTGCTCCAGTCTGGCTGAAATTTTGAGGGACGCTTCGTGACTCAGTGTTCTAAGAATCACCGGAGGGATTTGCGTTCCAACCGTTGGTTTGGGAGTTCTCTGAGTTTTAGCGTGGTTGTTCGCATCAGTGGCGAATTCAGATTTCAGCAGGTGTTGTCTTAAGTGTTTGGGAAATCCGACCGTGAATTCTTCTCTGTTTGAGTTGAAATTTTGCAGAGGTGTTTTGACTCGTTCATCTAGGGTTTGTATGTTGGAGATCTGATTTGGTGGCTGGAATCCTAATAAACGTAGAGTCATTTGGATCTACTTATTTCTAAGCTTTGTATTGCTTTTTTGTGGTGGTGTTTTTGTATTGGAGATTGCTCTTTGGAGTCTTAGTTTTTAGTGGACGTGGTTGTAACTTATATTCATTAGTGATAGTGGATTTTTGAGTGGATTATGGTCCCGTGGTTTTTACTCCTCACATCGAGGAGATTTTCCACGTAAAAATTTGCTATGTCATTTTACTTTCTGCCATTCCTTCTATACTTGTCTCATAGGTTCACACAAGTGTGGAAAGAACTATATTCCGCTGCGCCATTGTTCCTCCCAACAAAAACAAGCCGGTTCTCGGTAATATGCAAGTGCAAGTTCAGAAATGAAGACGGTGATAGCATCAGCTTTACTTGTAATCTTGGGGGATGGAAAGAGCAATGTGGATCATCTAGCCAAGAAGATTTAGCTCTGATCATGTGTTCATCAGCTATAACAACTGTTTCCATGCCAAGAAAAGCCATGATCTCAATAGATGTTGCAACACCACCGCCTCATTCAAATTCTTTGTTACTGATGATGGTGTAGCCAAAAGAAAGCTAGATTGCTGTGAGGTGGTGAAATGTGGTATGAGCTTGTTACATGCACCGGATGAGAATGATTATAGGTTGCAGGAATTACAGGAGAGTAACCTCGAGAAAGCGGTATCTGGGAAAGAAACAGATCTAAGTGAAACCGCTATTGAGGAAACTGTTGTGTCCAAGAGAGGCCGGTTCTGTCTACAAGAAGAAGAGCTACTGAACGGTAAAAGAATAAAGGAAGAAATCTCTTTTCCTGATTATGATTGTTCTGTTCGTCGTTACATGGAGCCAGCAAAGTCTAATCTCTTGAAATAACTAATTGTAAGAAAGCTGATTTCAGACAAAGGTTGGATTCACACAGAGATCAATCATGTTTCAGATCTATCTTAAGTTCTCAACTCCTTTTAACTGAATTGCAGAGACAGATTGTTTAGAATTTCTGCAATTTCAAGTGGCTAAACTTAAGCATTTTTTCAATAAAATAGAGAACTGAATCTCGGAAGAAAGTATTCCTCTGCATCAGTACAACAATCTCAAAATGTGAAAGCTAAAGTTTGACTTGTAATAAGATTCAATGAGCCCTCAAGTAAAGTTCCAATGCAAACTTATTACGATATTAATTATCTCTGCATATTATTAAAAAGATTCTCTCAAACTTGAAGTAAAGTTCCAACACAAATGCATTACCAGTTCATTTGCCACCTCGCATATGTTAACTTTATTCATAAGTATAATATTATATAAGAGATGTATAGTCTAAAAAGTTGAGAAAGTCAAATGCTTGAGTTGCAAAATACCAAAAAAAAATCCGCACTAGAAGAATGAATATACTATCACAATCAAAAAGTCAAAAAGTGTATGCCAAACACACTGAAAAAAATATTTGCTTCGAATCTTACCAATGTTATAGACCATTGACCTAAATTATAAATGTATAACTCCCCAATATACACAAATACTATTATTTTATATAAAAAAATTATGAGAATTAGGAGGGTTCACATTATGTGTTATAAAGTTACGCAACAAGTCACATGAATATTACCCAAGTATACAACCGAAGTAACCCCACAAGATTAATGGAGGCCTCACGTTTCTTTCTTGGTCAGTTTTAGACGTTACCAAGCCACTAAAAAAAAATTTAAAAATTCGAAAAAACAACTTTATTGGACCATCTCCACTTTATCATTTTACTTATATTGCAAGTTTATATTTAATTTCCGAAGATGAAAAATGGCAATTTGCTTTTTATGTATCATTTAACTGAACAAACACAACATCCCATCGTGAAGAAGAAGAGGAAGAAAAAAATCAAAAATCCGAAAATGGCTACACAAACAAAACTCAAGAAACCTAATTCTCATTTTAGCCTTTGCACTTTCCTCTTCTTCACCGTCCTCTTTACCATCCCGGCACTTTTCCTCCTCCGCACCTCCTCTTGCTCCTCCTCCACCGCGTCAGTCTCCTCCTCCTCCGATACAAACGAACCACCGTGGTCTGGCGACCTCCGAACGGCCCAATTTGCCTGGAACCGCCTTGCTTTCTCATTAACCAACCCTCCTCCCAAAACCCTAAAACTCGCGGTTTTCTCCCGGAAATGGCCCACCGGGCCCAATCCCGGCGGCATGGAACGCCACGCCTTCACTCTCTACACTGCTTTAGCCCGCCGTGGACACCGCGTCCACGTTTTCACCTCTCCTTTAGACCCTTCCCATGAAACCAACAAAACCACCCCTGTTTCCGACCAAACCCTAAACCCTAAAATCCATTCCCACGGCGATGCAGAGCCCGGAAAATGGCGGTACAACAAAGCTTGGGAGCTTTACCAAGAAGAAAACCAGAAAGAACCTTTTGACGCGGTTCACTCCGAAAGCGTGGCTTTACCTCATTGGATCGCTCGAGAGGTTCCAAACCTAGCTGTCTCGTGGCACGGTATTGCATTAGAGAGCTTACAATCAAGCATTTACCAAGACCTGATCCGTAAACCAGACGAACCAAGATCACAAGGCTTCAACGCAAGCCTATACAGTGCCGTGCTTCCCAAGATACTCGATGAAATCAGATTCTTCCACAACTACGCTCACCACATAGCAATCAGCGATAGCTGCGGAGAAATGCTGAGAGACGTTTACCAAATCCCGGAGAAAAGAGTTCATGTGATCCTCAACGGAGTCGACGAAAATGGATTCAAATCAGACAAGAAGATACGTTCTCTGTTTAGGTCAAAACTAGGGTTAGCGGAAAACTCATCAGCTATTGTTTTAGGAGTCGCGGGGAGATTAGTCAAAGACAAGGGACATCCAATTCTTTACGAAGCTTTCGCGAAGCTAATCGAAACGCATTCGAATGTTTACCTCGTGGTAGCTGGATCAGGGCCATGGGAGCAACGTTACAAGGACTTAGGTGAAAAAGTTACTATTTTGGGATCTTTAAACCCATCTGAGCTCAAGGGTTTCTACAACGGGATCGATTTGTTTGTGAACCCGACGCTTAGACCACAAGGTCTTGATTTGACGTTAATGGAAGCTATGTTGAGTGGTAAACCGGTGATGGCGTCGAGGTACGCGAGCATAAAGAGGAGTATTGTGGTGAATGATGAGTTTGGGTTTATGTTTGCGCCGAACGTGGAGGCTTTGACGGCGGTTATGGAGGTTGCGGTGGTGGAAGGAGCGGAGAGGTTGGCGGAGAGAGGGAGGAAGTGTAAAGAGTATGCGGCGGAGATGTTTACGGCGAGTAAGATGGCTTTGGCTTATGAGAGGCTTTTTCTTTGTATTAAGGATCAGAGGTTTTGTATCTATCCCTAAATAAGTACAGTTAGTTAATTACTCAATTATTATCAACATTTTCATTGTTTTTTCTTAAATGGGAATTAAAGTGAGTCTTTATTAATGTAATCATTTACACAATCTTACACAACAAATATCCACTCTTTTAGATTTCTCACATAAATATTTGTTCTCTTTCAATTTTTGTTTTATTATAGGAAAAAGTGGAAAAAATAGTTGATTGGTAATCATCAGAAAAAAAAAAACTATAACTAGAATTGCTGTTTTTTTTTCCAGAACCACCACACATTTTCTACTAATTTATCCGCTAGTTAATTTTTAGTTAATCCTCCTATTGTTTTTCAGTCATTCCACTACTAGTTTAGACTGTTTAGTAGTAGTAACTAAAATCCAAAAGCAATAAAGAACAAAGGATAGTAATTATCAGCCAGTAGTAAAACTCCATTATACGTCTGTTATTAATTATTTAGATCCTACATATACTGATTGATTTACACAAGCCGTTGGTGGGGTGGAGGCAAATTCCTCTACGAATCAACAATGATTGAACTAATCCGAGCTTGTTCAAACCGTTGATAAGCTCTTTTAGTTCTAATAAACAACACAAGACTCGAAGCTAGCCCAAGAACCGACAAGCAACCCCACCACACAAACGTCAAGTAATAGCAATCTCGTCCCATACACACGACCGAGTCCGTCACCGTTTTGATCCCGTTGAAACCATGCGAGTCATAGACCAATGCAGCCAAGAATCCATAGATCAATGATCCTATTGGTATGTTTGTGATCAAGATATTATGGTTTACTCCAACACTGTTCGGACCAAAAAGCTCTGATGTGATTGAAACCGCTGCTGCGAATATAAACCCGGAACTTAAACCGATCAGTGCGGTTCCCGCTTGTAATGCTGACGCGTTTCCTGATGATGCGAGCAAGAAAAGCGCGATCGGCGTTGGTAATAACGCGATTGCTAACCATCCTGTTCTTGCAAAATAAACCTTCCTGCGTACATATTAAAACATTCACAATCCAGCAATCAAACGTGAGGATTTTAACTTAATCAAAGATTAATGCACTTACGCTCTGATATAATCAGGTGTTGCGGAAAGCAATCGACCAAAGAATGAGAAAGCGGAATAAAGTGTGACAAGAGTTGTGGTGTTTGAGCTTTGTCCTAAAGACTGAGCAATCTGTCCAAGGTTGTTGCTATAAACGAGTCCAATGGTTCCACCGCAAAAATACGCGACATAGTATAACCAGAAATCTGCTCTGCGTAAGAGCAGCCACAAAGGGTGTTCAGTTCCCAATAGCTCAAGCTGATCTCTTGTAATAAGCTTCTTGAAACAAGACTCATCAATAACATCATCTTCCTCTGCAGCTATGGTCTTAACCAGCGGGTTTTGCACGGCATCATCGTTCAGCAACTGGTAGCTTTCTCGGTTTGCTTCATGTGCAACCATCCCTTTATGCAACTCAAGCTCATCAGGATCAACAAGAATGAAACCAGAGCCTTCTAGACGGAAACTAGTGTGGATTGTTCGATTATACCAATTTCGGGCAATGACTAAACCGGGTATACATAAAGGGAAGATCAATAGAATGATTGCTCCACCAAAGAGGAGACGAGCAGTGGTTAAATCAGAGGAGTTTGAACCAAAGAGAAGGAGATAAACGCCATTTAAAGCAGCGAGAATGTTGAGCAATAGAAACATGAGAGAGTCACGTCGAACTCCATCTGGTGGAAGAGGCTCAAAAGGAGGTTGGCGAAGAATCGGGATGATTGCAGTGAAGGAGACAACGAGAGGTATAAGAGCGTTTAAGAGAAGGTAGAGCTCTGATGAGGCTGGATTGATTGCATTGTAAGCGAGAGTGTATAAAGCGGCGCTTACACCATTGAAGCTCACTGTGAGAGAAAGAGCAAGTGATCTGTTTGCAGGGAAGTTACTGATGCAGAGCACAAAGCAGACTGTGTTGAACCAACAGATACTTAGACCAGCAAGTAAGCAACAAATAAACACCTGCACAGAAGCTAGCAAAACTTAAATCAAAGTTTTTTTTTCAGTGACCGCAAATTAAAAAAAAATGCAGATTTTTTTTTTTTTTTTTTGCGTTTTGATCAGAATCTTCACTCCAAAAGCTTTTCCTTGGTCTCCATTAAAAATTGATCATAAAATTGTCTTGATTAAGTGAAAGATAAGATTAAACTTATATAGAAAACGACCAAAAAAAAGTTATATATAAAAAAAAAATAACACATTCAATATTTATACATCTACGTCATCGACTCTTCTCAATCACAAAAATTCTCCTCATCAGAAAAAGACCGGTTGTCACTGTTATATGATTTACAACAATCATAGCTTATTTATATGATTTACAACAAGAATTGTACGAAGGGATCCATGAATAAATTGAATATTTAATTTTCTTTTTTTTGACGTCATATTTTATATTAAAACTGCGGATCTTCGAAACAGCCAAGACAAAAGGACATGTAAGGACCAACCAATTTTATAAAAGTTCTAAAATTAATGCATCTACCAAGAAAAAAGAATGAATAAATCGATAAAGCAAAGAAAAAAAAATTACGAACTACAAACCAATCAGTCGTCACCCCATCTGTGATTCAAAATCTTGTTTTCGTCTCATTTGGGAATTGTGACAACTTTATATAACAATTAGTAACATAAAAATATCATTTTAAGGAAACAGAAAACTCTGTAAACTTTCCAAAAACTAGATCTTTGAGAAATTTTACAAAATAAATTTATATACTTCAAAAATCTTATATCAAAAATGTTAATATCATTAATTATTCGACTAAAACACACTTTTCTATTTAACTTTTTTTTTTATCAACTGGACAACTACTTGTCTATTTAACTATGTAATCGATTATATATGAAAAAAAAATATATATGAAAAGAGTTGAGTCAAATCCTGATACTTGGTCTTATACAAATAATTAAATTGCAAGAAAATTTCAACATAGATGGCTGTTCTTAACAAATACAAATAAAATTGATCAAATCCTGATATCTCTATTAAAAAACAAAAAATCATTTTTCACTTATCAGCATTAACAAGACTAATTTTTTTTTTTGTCAAACTAACAAGAATAATTTTGAAGTTAAAACTTTTCTATATCAAAATTACTTTTTAAGTAAACCAATGAGTTCTTGGACTAAAACTTCATTAGTTCGTTTCCTCAACAATGAAGATAACTTGTAGATTGTTCTGCATTTTTATTTTGTGTTTTCACGACTATTCTGCCAAATCATTAACCAATGATTCTCAATAAATAAGGGAGAAAACAAAATAATAAACAAATGCGACAGAAACAGTTTCAAAAGAATTTGTTTTTTTTTTTTAAGTAGAAAGATGAGTAAGGTTTACCATAATATAAGGCAAAGAGATGAAATTAGAGATGACGAGCCACTGGACTCCGTAACCGACGAAACCCATAAACGCCGCCGCGAAAAGCACCGTCCAAAGCGGGAAATACATGAGCGCGAGCCCCGAAGACCACCCGAAGACTTTTCCGAGATCGGAAGCGACGGCGAGGTAGTTAAGCTGCACCTGTGAAATCCCTAAAACCGATTTCAAATCTGAAGAGTAAGCCGAGAAATCGAAATTCGTCCCAGTGAACGCTTGAATCCAAATCGTCGCCACCAGAATCATCCATTTTCGCGATTGTCCCGCCATAATCTTCACGCCGGCTTCGGCTACTGAAGATCGAATCACCGGGATTTTGATTTTTTTTTTTTTTTGGTGTCCCTTTTTTGCGCTTTATTGTATGGTAGAGAGAATTCGAGGCGTTTGTGTGAGTGAGCTTTCTCTGTTGGTGTGTGTGTTTACATTACATGTAGAAAACAATTCTTCAATTGACAAAACGAAAATAAAAAACAATTCGCCTATTTTACGTGGCAACTTTTAAAAAAGCTCATAATTCACCTACTCTTCTCTTATATAAAAAAAGAGATATATCATTGATTTTTAAAAAAAAAACTTTGATGATTGATTTTAAAAGTTTTAAAGACAACGGTGTCTTTTGGAGATAGTTATTATGGTGTACCAAAATTTAGAGATAGCATTAAGATATACTCCTAGTTATGGTGTACCAAAATTTAGTATTTTAATAACAAATTATTTTACATTTAAATATATCAATACAACTTAAGTTGACAAAAGATATTAAAAAAATTGAAAAAAAAAATCAGGTGACATATGTTAAACTATACAAATATAAAATAAAGATAAAGGTATCCAAAATAATCACTATTTGTCAGCAAATATACATACTTCAGTTTTACTCCTACATAAATTGATGATATAATGTGCTCCAAGTGTTAATAATGCCTTTTAGTTTTTACCTGAACTGCAAGTGTATAATTATAACAAAAAAACGTGTTATTTGTTATGGTCCTTATGGACAATTGGTGATATGCAGCATGTGAGGTTGCAGTGTACTTTTTTTTTTTTGGTAAAATTCAGTGTACTTATTGTTTGTTTGATGGATGCTTTGTGTCTTGTCTACTAAGCTTTTCACCGAGAATGTTCAACACTTACCATATGCAATCGTTAATTATCATATGGTAAGTGTTTGAACATTCTAAATTTAAATCATAAGTTTTTTTTTGTTAAAGGTATAAATCATAAGCGTAAGAGTAGTACATCAAGTGATAGCTTATCACAACAACAACAAAACAACACGTAATTAGAATTGTAGAATAGTGTATTCATATGTACGAATGTTGCTATTTTCGTGATTAAAAAGTGATCCCTCAATCATTTTGTTTTCACGTGAATCATAAGCTAAAGCTTTATTCCAAACGGTGATGATATTATTTATTCAAAAGAAATTGGAGTATATGGCCTACATAGATGTCAAATTTGCCATATAACAAAAATGGTTTATTGTAGCTAATGGCGTCTCCCTAAGGTTTTGCAAACAGCTATTTTCGTAGTTGTGTCCATCCGCGACTCCTTAGAATCAGTATTACCAATAGCGATGAATTCACGGAGAAAGAATCTCTATTCAAATATAACGCGAAAATAATATTAAAAAAAAACTAATTGCAAACAATTCTTTATCAAAAGAATATAAAAAACAATATAAAAACGTTTTTTTTTTTACAAATTTTCTTCCCTGCAAACTTTGGTGATTTTGAGTTGTATTGTCATGTCTCGCAGGTTTCATTTTCATAGTCAAGCATCTAAAATAATTTTGCCTCGAAGACTGTATTGAATGATTTTTCTGTGAGCAATATTGACAAATTTCAGTCTATATATGGAATAGTTTCGTGTACATAGAGCATGTTTATCCGGTGTCTCTTAAAGGATTTTTTAAAAGTTTTTGGCCTAAAATAAAAAAAATAAAAAACCCAACATTTGTTAAAGACAGTTTTTATTTGAGGATTTTAAAAATCGTCTTTTAATACCACATGTCATATTTTTATTGGGATTCATAATTGCAAAAAAAAACTTCTTTTATTTTTCTCTTTCATTCTCCTCTTTTTCTTTCTCTTTCTCTTTTTTCAATTTCTCTCTTTTTCTTTTTTAAATTTTAATATTAAAATATGTTTTAAGAACCTTGTGAGTTTTTATTAGGACTGAAATTATTATCCAATATCCGATCCGGTATTTGGTCCTATCTAATCCGTAAAAACCGAATATCCGTGTAATTGGAATCTGGATCCGGATAGTGAAATTAAATATTCGGTTATTTCGGATATGGATCCGGATAATAGAAAATTTTGAAACTGGTTATCCGTTATCCGTTTATTAAGTATTTATCTATTTTGATAATATTTATTGAAATTCATATTGCATGATAATTTTCTATTTCAGACTGTGAGAGAAGAACATGAAAATGGATAATACATGAATCTATTATATAAAGACTCAGTTGAGTTTCACAAGTTTGACACATCAGCATCCATTTTTTTGACACATCAGATTAAAAAACAATTATGAGAGAACTAAATAATTAAATTATACTAATTTCTTTTTAATTGAACACAGAAACCGAAAAAGAAGTGTATATTAATTTATGGTTCATAATGAACTGCAAATTAATTTTCATTTTGGAAGTTGGAAAGATGGAATTTCAAACAATCTCCAATGCTTTCTAATATCGACTCAAAATTCCATAAGTCAATAGGTAAGATTTTTTATTCTACGTCTCCTCTTTGATTTATGGGTTTTTGGGAGCTGCGTTATATCATTTGTATTGAATTCATTCTGATTTTGTTTACATAGACATTGATCCATTTTATTTATATAAAGGCATACCCACCGATGACAACACTACCACCGGGACAAAGGGTTGAGATTTGAAGTCTCGGGCAGAAATCAACAAAAACAAGGAAGAACACAACACTGTTTGAGCACAAAGAAGAAGTACGACAACATGGAGAAGACACTTGGTGAGACGAGACAGAAAGTAGAGGATAAGATGGTTTTGAAGGGAGGATTCGAAGTAAAGAGTAAGCTCTTATAACTGTTCCCGTTGGGAATTTGCCACTGATTGTTAAGAAAAATCTCATCTCAAAAAAATTAAGCTAATCTCAAACGATTAGGTTCAAGTTATGTTCATTGATTTTTTATTTTCTTTAATCTTGATTGATTAGTCAAAGAAGACAAAGAAATGAGCTGTATTGTTTAAGCAAATCAATGACAAAGCTTCAAGATCAGCTCTTGAAATTCTAAATTCTAATGAAATTTATTTTGAATTTTGGTTGAAAGTCTCTTGCTTTATTATTCGATGTATGATTTGAAGTTTCAGTTATAATATTAAATATGGATGGTAGCTATAAGTTTTCGTCAACAAAGGAAGTTTGAGGGTGGAGTTTGAGACAAAAGTGTCATAGATATGGGCAAAAAGTTGATGTCCTTATCCTTTGGTTGCTTGATTGGCTGGTATCTCATCTTTTTTTTAGGCTTCTGATCTTCATCTATGATATCCAAGACATGTTTGCAATGGAAGGTAATGTAGAATTTTTTTAAAGGACTTAATTCTTCAAATAAATCTGTAATATGTACTGTGAACAGGACGAGTTTGTAGGGTTTAATTTCATTTAATTTCAATACTTGCTCTTTACTTCCAAGCCACCAAGTCTCTCGACAAAAACCATCTTCCTAACGCTCTTCCTATTTGTAGTGATTAGACATAAGCTGAAAAACCATTAATAAGGTCAGTTTGGGATATAGCATATCAGGTTACTTAACTACATATCGTATTTTCAATACTTCCTAACGCTCTTCCTAATTTCAATACTTGCTCTTTACTTCCAAGCCACCAAGTCTCTCGACAAAAACCATCTTCCTAACGCTCTTCCTATTTGTAGTGATTAGACATAAGCTGAAAAACCATTAATAAGGTCAGTTTGGGATATAGCATATCAGGTTACTTAACTACATATCGTATTTTTTTCACTCTCACTATCTCTGCTTTAACCTTTAACAAAAAATATATGCGGAAACATATCTCTGAATGATGAAAATACATTAAAAATACGATTTGGTGAAGATATTGAATTTGTCTTACAAAATATATATTTTTATCATTAAAAATGAACTAACAAAAAAAAAAAACAGGTTGAGAATAATAATGAAAAATATTTGGTTGGATGCAAAAATAACAAGTATTACATCTAAAAAAAATAATGACTACATTTTTACGAGTTCATATGATATTCAGATTACCAAATACAAAAATTTAGAATATATAAACTTATAGAAAATATCTATTAATAAATTATATTAAAATAAAAATCACATTTAATGACTATATTTTTACAAATTTGGATGATATTTATATTATCAAAAATAAAAAATAAGTTAATTTTGTAGAAAAATGTAATTTCATAATATATATTAAAAAAAAAACACCCGCGTGTACACGCAGGTATTCATCTAGTATGAAAATAAATTAACTTCTCTATTACTATTTTCTCTTTGTTATAAACAAATGGACTTCTAGTAACCGGCCCATTAACCATCAGGTTAATGTCTCATGGCCCATTAGGGTTTCTGATACATTAGTTATGTAATGTATATATACACTGCTTGTGAAAATAATAAGACGAGAGTTTTTCCCTTAATACGTTATCAGCACGAAGCTCAACTTCAAACGATCATATCTCTCAAAATACAAGGAGTTAGAAGGCGATCTACATATCATTTTGAAGCCCTGGAAGAGAAGAATCTAGTGGTGAGAACCGCTCCTCAATCCGACACCAGACGCGCCCTCAAGACTCAAAACAATCGGCGCTGTCCCATCTTAGCGGGTGATTCTTTCCAAGCGGTGGTTCCTCCCTTGTAGCAGCTGTTCGTCCTCCCTTCTGGCCATCATTCTCAGGAATTTCCAGTAGATATCTGTGGTCTTTAGCTCCCAGATCATAAGCCGGTCAGAAATCCATTTGGCGAAAAGGTATTATCTAAAACTATAGATCCTAATCAAAGTTTTGGTTTTTTTTTTTTTTTTTGAAAACCCTAATATGGATCGGTTCTTTTCATGATTCTTCATCGTCTTTTTCGTTTTTAAAACCATAACCAAACCGATCCTCTTTCTTCTTGTCAAAACCCTAATTGGTTTTATTTTTCCTAATCGGCTTTATCATATAAAACCTAAACCCTAATGCTTTGTTCAAACCCTATACCGATCGGTCCTAGCATCATCTAAACCAAACACTAAAATTCCTTGCAACCGAAACCTAAATCTTTGCAAAACCCTAGATCTAAAATCGTTTTGGTTTGTTTATCGTTAAACCGAGATCGATCGGTTTAAATCCTAAACCAATCGGTTATTTATCTTAGATCCGATCCTTGAAAACCCTAAAACCGGTCCATGCAAGCTCCTAAATCCTAAACCAATCGACCCTTTAAACTCTAAACCAATCGATCCACCTAAACCGTTTATAAACCGGTAAATTCTAATCCTAAATCGATAGGGTTTAAGTTTAAACCGATCGGTTTTTCCTAATAAAAATTAAACCCTAGCAAATCCGTTTAGTTTCATCCCTTAACCGATTAATAACCCTAATAACCGGTTTCCAAAATTAAATCTAATTTAACCGGTTTTGTTGTTTAATCGATCAATCCGATCGGTTTAATCTTAATCGGTTAATTTCAAATTAGTTTCCAAAATCAATCTAAAAAAAAAAAATTAATTTCAAATTAGTTTATCTATTAGAGCTAAATTTGGAAACCCTAGTAAACCGGCTAGGTTATAAACCCTAAGGTTCGATTTTAGAGTTCCCTTATATAGCAAGTTTCCTAAAATAGCAAGTTTCCTGAAATGGAAAGTTTTCCCAAGAATACCTTAAATCCCTTATTCCAATGACCATAGTCTCATACTATTGATTATTTAACATAAATTATTATATGTTTCAGATGTCAAACATTCAGAAGGTCGAATATGAGGCACTCACTGTCTCCGGAGATAACTACCTCAAATGGGCCCTTGACACCAAGATCTACTTCAACTCAAAAAGTCTGGGTGAATGCATCAAAGATCCCAACACCGCGACTCAAACAGAACGGTACTCGGCGATATTTATTATCCGCCATCACCTCGCTGAGTCTCTCAAACAACAATACCTCACTCTTGAGGATCCACTCGAACTTTGGGTGGCACTGAAAAAGCGATATGACCATCAGAAAACGGTCATACTGCCCCAAGCCAAGTTCGACTGGAAGAACCTACGGTTCGAAGATTTCAAATCCGTCGAAGAATTCAATTCCGAACTCTTTCGGATAGTTGCACTCATAAAACTATGTGGCGAGGAGGTCACTGATAAGGATATGCTAGAGAAAACATTCTCTACTTTTGGCACTCCCAATGTTGTTTTCTCTAGCATATCCATATCGAAACTCAGGATGAAGGGAACAAAGAGTTTTTAATTATCACTAAAATGATAAATGGCCATAAACAAGTCTTTGAAACTATACCCGCCGTATCTACTGGCATTTACCATGCTAAAGTCAGTATGATTGAGGCTAATGCTGCTATCAAAGCACGGTTTTTAGATTACACTATTTGGCATGATCGCCTGGATCATCCCGGTGCGAACATGATGCGTAAATTAGTCCAGAATTCTAAAGGGCACAGCCTTAAACCAAATGGTATTTTCCCTCAGCACCTCAAGTGCACAGCTTGCTCACAAGGGAAACTGATTACCCGACCTTCACCAGTCAAAGTGTCTAAAGAGACCTTGAACTTTCTGGAAAGAATCCAAGGAGACATATGTGGACCAATTCACCCACCTTGTGGGACATTCAGATATTTCATGGTCCTCATTGACGCATCGACCCGCTGGTCGCATGTCTGTCTGCTCTCTTCTAGGAACCAGGCTTTTGCTAGGTTATTGGCCCAAATCATCAGATTACGAGCCCATTTTCCAGACTTCCCATTAAAGACTATACGTCTTGATAATGCTGGTGAATTCACTTCCCAAGCGTTTAATGAATATTGTATGTCCATGGGGGTAAGTGTTGAACATCCCGTTCCACATGTCCATACACAAAATGGATTAGCTGAATCCTTCATTAAACGAATTCAATGGGTTGCTAGACCATTACTCATGAGGTCACAACTCCCGGTCTCAGCTTGGGGACACGCAGTCTTACATGCCGCTGAACTAATACGCATACGACCATCTAGTGAGCACAAATATTCACCATCCCAATTGCTAACGGGTCATGAGCCAGACGTCTCCCATATTAAAACATTTGGGTGTTCAGTCTATGTACCCATTGCACCACCACAGAGGACTAAAATGGGACCTCAAAGGAGGATGGGAATATATGTTGGTTTTGATTCTCCCACCATCATAAAATATCTCGAGCCAACTACAGGAGATCTGTTTAAAGCCAGATATGCAGATTGCCGATTTGATGAATCGGTATATCCTAGATTAGGTGGTGAGACAGACAAGCTGGTAAAAGAACTTTCATGGAATCAAACATCCACACAATGGCAAGATCCTCAGACTCTAGAATGTGATTCAGAGGTCCAAAGAATTATACATTTACAAAAGCTAGCTAATCAATTGCCAGATTCCTTTGCTGACCCGAACAAAGTTACCAAATCGTACATACCAGCTTGTAATGCACCAGTACGAATAGATGTCCCATCAGGGAAAAGTCAAGTTGCTACAGAGTCTGACGCACGTAAGAAACGTGGCAGACCACCAGGTTCCAAAGATAAGAATCCCCGGAAATCTAAGAAAGGTGCAATGATTGAAACCGGGATTCAAGAGAACACGGATACAGCCTCAGCTGATACTTACCCTATCGAACCATCTCAAGAGGTTTGGGACGCCAAAACTCAAGGTTTTGAAGGGATTGATAATAATGAGATCTCAATCAATTATATCATATTCGGTTCTCTATGGAACAGAAAAGATGTCGACATCAATGAAACTTTTGCATACAAGGTAGCACTTGAGATTGCGCACACGCAAGAGGATCTAGAACCCACGTCTATAATTGAGTGCACTCGTAGATCAGATTGGCTGAAATGAAAAGAAGCCATAAACGTGGAGTTGAATAGTTTAAAGAAACGGAATGTGTTTGGTCCGATCTTAAGGACACCATTTGATGTTAAACCAGTGGGAAACAAATGGGTCTTTGTGCGTAAAAGAAACGAACTCGGCGAAGTCGTTAGATACAAGGCACGCCTTGTAGCACAAGGATTCTCACAGAGACCCGGAATCGATTATGAGGAGACTTATTCTCCAGTGGTGGATGCAACTACATTTCGATTCCTCATAAGTCTGGCCATAAGAGAAAACTTAGATTTGCGGTTAATGGATGTTGTAACCGCATATCTTTATGGACCACTGGACAGTGAAATCTATATGAGATTACCAGATGGTATTGAGCTCAAAGATAAGCATGCATCTCGTGATAAACACTGAATTAGGTTGAACAAATCCTTATATGGACTGAAACAAAGCGGACGTATGTGGTATAACCGGTTAAGCGAATATCTCATCAGAGAAGGCTACAAAAACGATCCGATCAGTCCATGCATCTTCATCAGAAAATATCAAAACAAAGGATTTGTAATCATAGCAGTATACGTGGATGACTTGAACATCCTCGGAACATCTGGTGAAATCGCCCAAACAGTTGAATGCTTAAAAGCAGAGTTTGAAATGAAAGACCTAGGCAAAACTAAATTCTGTTTGAGATTACAACTTGAGTACGTCAATGACGGAATCCTTGTGCATCAATTGGCATACACTGAAAAGGTACTCAAGAGATTCAATATGGACCAGGCCCACCCATTGACCAGCCCAATGGTTGTGAGGAGCCTTGGATTGGATAGTGATCCATTCGATCCAAAAAAGGACGATGAAGAAATCCTCGGTCCTGAAATGCCATACCTCAGTGCCATAGGAGCATTAATGTACTTGGCTAGTCACACTAGACCAGACATCTGCTTTGCCGTGAGCCTCTTAGCTCGCTTTAGTTCGTGTCCAACTCAAAGGCACTGGAACGGTATTAAGCACATCCTTAGATACCTTCAAGGTACTAAGGACTTGGGATTATTTTATTCTAACCATAACAAGGATGGTCTAGTTGGTTTTGCTGATGCAGGATATTTTTCAGATCCGCACTGTGCCCGGTCTCAAACCGGTTATGTTTTCACGCATGGAGGAACAGCCATATCTTGGAGATCCATGAAGCAGACTATTGCCGCTACCTCATCCAACCATGCGGAAATCTTGGCCATTCACGAAGCTAGTAGAGAGTGTGTTTGGTTGCGGTCCATGACTCAGCATATCCGATCAGATTGTGGTATGGACGAAGATAAGGAGCCTACGGTGATGTATGAAGACAATGCAGCTTGTATCGCTCAACTCAAGGACGGCTACATCAAAGGTGACCGGACGAAGCATATTCTGCCCAAATTCTTCTTCACTCATGAGCTACAGAAGGATGGTCAGGTCAAGGTTCAGCAAGTCCGATCAAGCGAAAATTCAGCCGATCTATTCACTAAATCATTACCGACTTCTACACTCTGGAAGCTCATTCATCAGATAGGAATGCGTAGACTTAGAGATCTACAGTGATGCCTAAACCAGGGGGAGTAATGCGTGTTGTACTCTTTTTCCTTCACCATGGTTTTTCCCACTGGGTTTTCCTGGTAAGGTTTTAATGAGGCAACGTTCCCCAGCGCATTATAGAGATCCCGGTTTTGTGACAGGCACGGTTACCTTGTCCAAGGGGGAGTGTTATAAACAAATGGACTTCTAGTAACCGGCCCATTAACCATCAGGTTAATGTCTCATGGCCCATTAGGGTTTCTGATACATTAGTTATGTAATGTATATATACACTGCTTGTGGAAATAATAAGACGAGAGTTTTTCCCTTAATACTCTTTTGCTAATTGCTATGTAAATTTTTAATTTTTGTGATATTTGAATGCTATTTGAATGCTTTTTAATTTTTAGTATTTGTAATTTTTGCTATATTGATACATTTTAATTATATATGTTGTCTTATTATAATTTTTAAAAACTGAAATTTTTTTTAAATCAACGAAACCGAATATCCGTAAATATTCGGTTTAAACCGGATATCCGGAGTTTTCAGATCCGGATTCAAATAATAAAATTGATTATCCGACGAATCCGAATTTGGATCTGGATCTGGATACTTTAAAAAATCCAGATATCCAGCTTCGTTCCAACCCTAGTTTTTACCGATAAACATGCTCCACAAGTTTAACGGTGAGCCAAAAAATTTGCAACTTTCACACAAATTGTATCCAATTCCATCATGTTATTATGGTCATTACGAAATTACGAGACTATCATGGGCTTTAACTTTGTAAGCCCATCATAAGCCCATTTTTCTCGACCCTGTTCGTGTCTCCCAAGTCTGAACCCTGGGTTTTGCCCAATCGCCTCCGCCTTCGGCAGAATCTCTCTTTGACCCGTGAACGTCTCCGTCTCTCGCTCTCTCTCTCCTCTCTCTCATGGCGTGGCTCAATAGCATCTTCAATTCTTCTTCAACATTGATCAATGGCGGCTCTTCTGTATTTCCCTAAAATCTCTTCAGAAGTGACCTCCTCACATTTCCTCTCTCTCTCACCCATGGATTTGAGGAAGCTCTCTCGCACAAGCTACTTATTCACGCGCCGCTTGAAATCCATAGCATACCCTCGAAAAAGCTTCCACACAACCTTACACCTGCAACAGCTGGAGAAATCGGAAGAGGCTTCCTCTTCTGATCGGCATTTGCGCGAACGGTTATCTGCGGCTTTGTCTAGACGATCTCTAGATTATGAGCAGTGTAAACAGCTCATAGCTACTTTATCTCCTCACGAATTCGATAGGTTGTTTCCTGACTTCCGATCCAAAGTTAATCCCAAGACGGCTTTGGATTTTTTCCGCTTAGCGTCTGATTCATTTAGCTTCTCCTTTAGCCTCCGTTCTTATTGTTTGTTGATAGGTTTATTGCTTGATGCGAGCCTGTTATCTCCTGCTAGGCTAGTTCTAATTCGTTTGATCAATGGGAACGTTCCGGTTTTGCCTTCTGCTAATGATTCGAGAGACGGTCGAGTAGCGATTGCAGATGCAATGGCGAGTTTGAGTTTGTGTTTTGATCCAGAAATCAGGATGAGAATCTCTGATTTGTTGATTGAAGTTTATTGTACACAGTTCAAGCGTGCTGGTTGTTATCTAGCTCTTGACATATTTCCTCTTCTTGCAAACAAGGGTTTGTTTCCTTCTAGGACGACTTGCAACATTTTGCTGACTTCTCTAGTGAGAGCCAACGAGTTTCAGAAGTGTTGTGAAGCTTTCGAAGCTGTTTGCAAAGGGGTTTCTCCTGATGTTTACTTGTTCACTACAGTGATTAATGCGTATTGCAAGAGAGGTAAAGTCGGGGAGGCCATTGAGTTGTTCTCGAAAATGGAGGAAGCTGGTGTGGCGCCAAATGTTGTTACTTATAACACTGTGATTGATGGGCTGGGGATGAGCGGAAGGTATGATGAGGCATTTATGTTTAAAGAAAAGATGGTAGAAAGAGGTGTGGAACCAACTCTTATCACGTATAGTATTCTTGTCAAGGGTTTGATCAAGGCTAAGAGGATTGGTGATGCTTATTATGTCGTGAAAGAAATGACAGAGAAAGGGTTTCCTCCTAATGTTATTGTATATAATAATTTGATTGATGGTTTAATCGAGGCTGGAAGTTTGAACAAAGCTATTGAGATAAAGGATGACATGGTTTCAAAAGGGTTGTCTCTCACATCGCCGACATATAATACTCTCATAAAGGGATACTGCAAGAGCGGTCAAGCTGATATTGCAGAGCGTCTCCTGAAGGAAATGCTGTCGAAGGGTTCAACTGTAAATCAGGGCTCCTTTACATCTGTAATTTGCTTGTTGTGCGGTCATCATATGTTTGACTCAGCACTTCGTTTTGTTGGAGAGATGCTACTGCGTAACATGAGCCCTGGAGGTGGAGTACTTACTATGTTGATTTCTGGTCTCTGTAAGCATGGGAAACACTCAGAAGCAGTAGAACTTTGGTTTAAATTTCTGAGTAAAGGTTTTGTAGTAGACACAAAGACTTCGAATGCTTTGCTTCATGGACTCTGTGAAGCAGGGAAGCTGGAGGAGGCTCTTAGGATTCAAAAAGAGATATTAAGGCGTGATTTTGTAATGGATAATGTTTCTTATAACACATTGATTTCTGGATGTTTCAGAAAGAGGAAATTGGAAGAAGCTTTTGGGTTCATGGATGAAATGGTTAAGAGAGGACTTAAGCCTGACAATTATACTTACAGCATATTGATCCGCGGGCTGTTTAATATGAATAAAGTTGAGGAAGCCATACGATTTTGGGGTGATTGTAAACAGAATGGTATGCTTCCAGATGTTTGTACATATTCAGTGATGATAGATGGGTGTTGTAAAGCTGAAAGAGCAGAAGAGGGTCAGAAATTGTTTGATGAGATGATAAGAAATAACGTGCAGCCAAATGTTGTTGTTTACAATCATCTAATCGGAGCATACTGTAGAAGCGGGAGGCTATCAATGGCCTTGGAACTCCGTCAAGATATGAAACACAAAGGAATTTCACCTAATTGTGGTACATATACTTCACTAATAAAGGGGATGTCGATCGTTAGCCTTGTTGAGGAGGCAAAACTTCTCCTCGAGGAGATGAGGGAAGAGGGTTTGGAACCGAATGTCTTTCATTATACAGCACTTATTGATGGATACGGGAAATTGGGTCAGATGGCCAAAGTTGAATGTCTTTTGCATGAGATGCATTCGAAGAACATACTCCCAAACAAGATTACGTATACAGTGATGATTAGTGGGTATGCTAGAGATGGGAATGTAACAGAAGCTTCAAGGCTTCTAAATGAGATGAGGGAAAAAGGATTTGTTCCAGATTCGATCACATACAAAGAATTTATATATGGATATCTTAAGCAGGGAGGTGTTTTGCAAGCTTTTGAAGGCTCTGATGAAGAACATTATGCAGCAATCATTGAAGGATGGAAAAAACTCATACAGTAGCTGATGAATAAGTGTAAGAAAAGGTTTCGGTTCTGGTTCTCAATGACCCTGTTAGTTAGTTGCTATGATTGCTTCAGATAATTAATGGGATTTGATCTGATTTTGTGCATCCTGATGCTTAATCTTGCAGTTGGAAAATTGAGAACCAGTGGTGTTCTCAGTTTTGATGGTCCTATGCATGTCCGGGATCTGCATCTTCTACTTAGGGGAACACATTAGTATGGAGTCACTTGGTAAATGCATATGGTCGATTGCATCTTACAAGTAGTTTAATTTGTTCTACTTGATGCTCCGGCCACACTAAATTTAGCAGCTTTGACCTGCTTCAGAGAAAAGTCGTTTCTTTTGGCATCATAGGCTTGTAGGGTCTATGATTACAAGTCCCACACTATTGGTGCTCCTCAGGTTTAAGAATCGAGTGCCACAGAATCAAATCCATGTTGCAAGATTCTGGATCAAAGCAGGCCCTTCAGACAGCAGTCCTGAGAAGACTATATACAGGTACATAATATATGTACACATTATATTGCATCTTACAATTCTGTGCTTTCAAGCACAATAATACAACATACCACTAGGATTCTTTGATCCGATTTTTATGTTATCCTACGAAATCTTTAGATACTGTTCTCCCTTTTCTTTGGACAGATTCAATGAAATGTAAAACTTAATGGACAGTCACTTAAAAGCTGAAACATGGACGTTAATGGCAGCTATTCAACTTCTCATAGCATAAGCACGAGACTGGGCCAAATGGCTTCTCTTTTGCAGGTCACACATACATGTAAATACTCTTTCACACTCTACTTTATAATTCTTCTTCTTCTTCTTCTTTTGCCATTCGTTTACCTGATATTATTGATTTCTGTCAGAGAGATTCAGCCAGCTAATCATCGGAGTAGTTTAGAACTAATTGTAGCCTGACACGTCGCCGGGAAAAGTTTCTCAAGATGTGCAGAATTTTTGCCCACGGAACAAATTCAACAAACCGTATACTACAAAGACTTTCAGCGGGGTCATTGCTGTTTCTTTTTTCTTGTATACAATTGTTTATTCATTTTTTTCCTCTTACAGAAATGAAAAAAATATTATTTTCGATGTACATAAAATAGCAGAAAGGAAACAAGAAAATCAAAAATTCCTAATTCCACTGTTCATGATTTTTGTTTTATACTATTGAAGATACCCTAAACAGCGGTTGGTTTTGAGATAATGCAAATGGCAATATGAAACCTGACACTTTTTTAGATCAGGGGACGATATTTTGAGAACTTATGATTCTGGTTTTGATAGAATTTATGCTAAAATACTCATATTAAGCGTTCAAGAAGATAAAATGAATGTTAAGAGTCCATGAAGATATTATACAGTGACATTCTTTGTAAAACAAAAATAAAATGTTAAAATGACATTTTTTTGTGAAACGGAGTATTTTTTTTTCCTCTAAATCTGTTGTATTCTCTTTTCTCTAAACTAATAAGTCGTTTAATAGCAGTTCCATCTATCACTTTATTGTGAAACGGAGTATTTGCATCTAGTACATTTAGAATACTTGGTCCCGAATGCTTTAGGTATTCGAGTATTATGATCGACTATTTAGGACCACATATGTTGAGTCCGATACTTAAGGGTATTTCACCTAAGATCGAGTACTAATACTCCACTAGATGGATACTGGTAAAGCAATTGGAAATGAGTATTTGTACACACTTGAGTTGAGACCTTTCAAAATTTAACGAGTTTTGGTATTTCGAGAATCGATTACCCGAAGAGTTGGGATCTTCGAATATACATCTAAAAAAAAGGCACAGGGGCCGGCTTTTAGTGAAAAGAACAAGGAAACATATAGATACCAAACAATTCGCACGTGGGTATGGACCATTTCTTACTCCTGACAACATCAAACACCATTTGTCTCCACAACTAAAAGTCTGTATCTAAGTTCCATTGATTCTAGGTTCTTCTTTTTTTTTTTAATATTCATAAGAAACATAAAGTGTGGATGAAAATATACTAGATTCCATATATAAATAATTTATAAGAATTTTTGTGAAGTGAAAGAGGTAAAGTCACTTGTTAATGGGAAAGTACATTTCATTTTCATCCAGCTTTCTTGGCCCCTTTTAACCAATTGAGAGATCCAGCAATATAGACCACATGACATGATCTACTGTCTAAAGAGAATCTGTACATATGTATGTATGTATAATATATATATGCATAGTATGGCATATAGAATCATTCATCATTGATATATCAACTACATTCCGTACAGTACGGAAGATGCAAATTGAATCTTAGTTTGAAAACAAATGGTTTTTTAACTTGTCAGGCGAAAATGAAGAAACAGAGTTTAAAAACATTACAAGCTTTAGGTTGGTTAACATTATTTTATGGTTTTTTTTTTGGTCGAAAGATTTTGTTGTATGTTTTTTCATATTCAAAATGAGAAGCAAAATCAAAATAAAAAATGAATTGAACCAAATAAGAGGAAAAAAAAGAAAAACAAAACATAGTTAGAGTTTTTTTTTTTTTTTTTTGAGAAATTAAGAGTACTATATTGGATTAGAACTCCAACCAAAGTTGAAACGATGGTATATAACAATCTATAATAAGTTCAGTTTTTGGTTTTGTTCCGTTTCTCTTATGTCCGAAAACTCGAACCAAACCAAAATCTATATTAAACGTACGTTACGTACCCAAGCCAGACTTTTAAACCAAATGTGAGAGTAATTCAAGAATCTATATTTTCTGTTTATATTTCGATACTAATAATTATGAAATTCCTTCGTAAATTATATGCCGCATGCATAGGGTAGAGCATATACAAATACAAAGACTTCTTTTTATTGTTTTTTTCTTTCTCTAAATCATAAGTATCACGATCAGAAGAAAACGATCTATGATTAAAGTATTCTTTACTAGGTATTGCCTTTTAATTGTTAGGCAATATACAACGAAAGATTGCGAAAGCTACAATTTCCACAATATTAAAATTGGACGGTTAGACTAATTAAATAGTCATTTTTAGTTTCCATCCCTTTTAGATGTACCCATCCACAAATGAAACTTTTTCGTTTTAATGTTAGATAAAATTACACTTATACCAAACCTTATATACCTATACGGCTATACCTACCATACATATACAATGTGTATGTATAGATGTGTGCATATAAATATGGTAAGAAAGGAGTGCATAGCAATCCACAAACCAATCACTTTTATACCATATACCATATAACAATCACACTCATATATAGTCTCATGGCTACTAAATTCATCATCCTCACTCAAGTCAACCGCTCCAAAATCTCAGTTTCAACCCGAAAACCTCCTCGATGCAACCGAAATAAGCCCCGACCATCCAAATCCATAAGCGAGAACATGTTGAACAATGTTTTTCCTGGCAAAGCGCTAACGGAAATATACCATAATAGCCAAAATTCAGACCCACTTACTAACTCACTACTAAATCTTGAAAATCAGTCAGTGAAAGAAGAGGAGAGGAGGAGTCAACAAGAACACGGGAAGGTGTCGTCGTATAGCAGCCGCAAAGATGGTAAGTCCATAAGCACGGGGAAATATGAAGATATGAGACGTGAAGTTGCTCGATTAAGCTTGTTGTGGTACATGAAAAGTTCCATAAGCTTCATACTAAGGAGGGCAAGAGCGTTTTACAATGAGTTTTGTTGCGATACTTATGTTGCGAGTAGCACTATGGTTGTGGTCGATCCATATTTTTCTGTTCCGGTTTTACCTTTTAATTCCCTTAATTGATATCTCCAACTCAAAGTCGACGTGTTTAAAAGTTGTATTTAGCTTTGTTGTGTTGTAATGTGTAATTGTTCGTACGTCCACATATATGTGTTAGCAGCCGTCAATCTATGTAATTAATGTTGTTTTTAGCTTTGTTGTGTTGTAATGTGTAATTGTTCGTACGTCCACATATATGTGTAAACAGACGTCAATCTATGTAACTAGTGTTGTATTATTTAAATTAATTTCGTGTAGTGTTATATTTCGACGTACGTTATCACTACGCACTATCATCAAATATACACTTTACAAATATCGAATAAAGTAGCTAGAGGTCAACAGTTTTTTTTGTCGTATGATCTAGACTATTAATCTGAATATTTCGGAATATAAAAAGGTTACCATGTTTTTATTTAGAATAATTTTTTGATCGCGACGTGGAAATTAACATATAGTATTTTGTGTGATCATTACAGTATTTTCTCATAAATAAATTATGTTAAAATACATTTCATGAATATTTTTCTTCGACAAATACATTTCATGAATAATGTTGACTATACCTTTAACTAAATACGTAGACTTCTGAAATACAACAGAACCTTATAGTTCCCGAGAATATTCCACTAACTTTTTTTTAAATATATATTCCACTAAACTGCGAGCTTAAAGTGAAGCTATCTAGGCCAACTTGTACCTGAATTCACTTAATGATAAATTGATAACCATCTATATAACAGAAAGGGTCTAGGTAGTACTGTTGCTTGTTACCTGTTTGTATACTGAGTGAGAGAGAGAGAGAGAGAGAGAGAGAGAGGTCGTTAACCCTTTAGCAAAAAAAAACAAAATATAGAGGCTAGTTAATATATATAATGTTGTATAGTGTATTAATTTCTTCTGTACGTATGTATAGTAGAACAACAGTTCATGCATGCAGAATCACATGTATAACGTTGTAATTATATTATTAAATTCCATGAGAAGGACCACACATTATTACTACATATACATGGTCCTCTACACAATTCATAAATGTTTTTGCACCGTTATATATGGTAGCTTATGTTGACTCTTACCTGTCCCATTCAATACGAATTACATGTTCCTCTACGTTACTTCTAGAACTATATATAATGATGTTGATAAACTGATAATGGTTGACAAAAAGAAAAAAGAATGATGACCGCAATGGTCATATATGATCATTGATCACCAGAGGTTAGTTAGTTAGTTAGTAACTTAAATTGACAGTGATGATACAACAGTTAGTTAGTAACTTATATTGACAGTGATGATACAACTGATTATAATCTTACTCATGTTGTTGATTATTACGATGATAGCAATAGAAAGATAATGATTAGTCTTAGTCATATTGTTTTTGTTGATGCTGAGGATGAGGATTGGATTTTCTTGTTTTGACCAAATTAAATTCGTACTGCGGCTAATTTATAATTTCTTTGTGTGATTTCAAAAATTTATACTGAAATTTCATATATTTTCTAATTATTAACTAACAAACTGGATATCAGTAGGTTGGACAAATTAATAAAAAAATGGGGAATAAAAAAATATTATTTAAACAAAATAACAAAGCCCAATTAGTCTCAAATCGATTTTTATTTCGACCCAAACTTCAAAACTGGGCTTATCAGCCCATATTTAAAATTCCAGATATGTGATATGTCTGAGTAATAATGACATATTATTTCTCCTGAAGTTCGAACCAGATTGTAAAACTAGAATTTTATTTAGCCTTTTTTACCGTGTAAACCGACTGGAAAAAACCTTCATTATTTTTACATCAATGGACAATGAAATTTTACTACCTTGTCAATCACAGCTTGCACTTTCATATCAATCATTGCTGTTTTGTATAAATTTGTCATTAAAGCTTTATTGTTGTCATGTTTTTTTGATAATGTTGGATACTTGTTTACATATTATGATAACCTAATCATACTTGATCTCCCAAGCCCTATAATCTTGCAGCACCGATGATCTTTACTCTTTCCGTATTGAATAAAATAATTAAATATTTAGAACTTGTCCTTAAGTCAAACTGTTTATATGATTAGAACTGTACTCTATCTTTGGTAATCAATAGAAAAATGATCATTTTGCGATTCTGCCTTTTTTATCAAATTCAAAATTGCTAGAAAGAGATATTTGTTTTCAGCTATTATATAATTCACGAATTTTTTGATAAAAAAAAACTCCATTCGTTCCACCGTTTTTGATAATTATGTTTTACCATTCATATTTTTCTACTAGTACTGTTTGTTAACAACATTAAAAATGTTGGCCACCAAACATAAATTTTGTTTTAAATTTTTATTTTTGTGTACATTGGAATCAAAATCTAACCACCATCCAGAAGCAACAACTTTTTTAGTTGTCTAGAATCTCAATTTAGTAACACCAAAATCTTGGATTATGAATTTAATCTATCTAGTTGAATAAACAGCCAAATGTGGAAAATAAATCAAACTCGTGTAATGGTTAGATCATAAATATTGTGACTTTTAGTTAATATTTAATAATCATGTGATTAGCCTAACTGGCTTCACATAATAATGTTAGTTGATGGTGTTTCTTGGAACAACCCACATGGAATGTTCCTAGATTTTCACTGATACAGTGTTACAGGTTGCAGACATCTTATAAAAATACGGGAAGATAAATTATTGTTTTCGTTCTCATGTTATTGGTTTCCTTCAAATTGACCTTTAAGTTGTGATTTACACTAAAACTTCCACAACTTTATAAAATTACTAGCTACTCCCTTTCTCTTACTTGCTCTGTTAATTACCGTAGTAAAAAAAAATATGCTGCCTCTTCCTAATCAAACTGTAGTAGAATTAGCACCAAATTAGCAAATGGTATATTATGTCATTCCTATCTTAATTTAGAAAATAAAGATAGTGTTATAATGTCTTCATATGCCTAAACCGTGCTTGCATGTTTTAGTTATCATATTTTTATTACCAAATTAAAAATTCAGATGAAATTAAACATCTATAATGCTTAAAATATACTGGTTTAACAGATATCTCAGTTGAGTAGTATAATATCAAAACTTAGTCTGAATAAAGAAAAAACTGAATACATAAACTTATTTAATTGGGATAAGTATACCAAACTAAAATACTATTTTTAGTAGATTAATAAAGTTTTTGTTAGTTATATTTTTAGTTTTTTGTAATATATAGTAAAATCATTTTTCAAAATAAAATTTAATAAAATTCAAAATAGTAAAAAGTTGCAAATCATAATTTTAAAACATGAAAATGATATAACCCGTTTATTTCAACTATCATTATATAGTCATTTAGACAAGGGGTGATGGACCGCATTAATTTGTGATTGGAGTAAACCTACAATTGGATAATCAGCAACGTACGTATGAGAGGTAAATAACGACCAATCGCTGTTAAGCTTGGACCAATCTCCTATAATTGTTTTGGTTTTTGTTTTTGGTATCAAACTGTTTTGCTGAAAATCATTAAATTACTCCATATACAATAGTGTAACGATTTAATATTTGGTACATAGTTGGCGAAATGTTATCTTAAATGCAAACATGTTCTTGTTCATATTGAAGCTAATATTGAGCATATATCATTTTCTGGTATTCTATTATAATATAAGATTTTATGGAATAAATCATAAAATAGATTATAGTTAAAATGTGTACTTTATGATAACATACCAACTGCAAGTTGTTGCAAGTTTGTAACACATTACCAACTTGTAAAGATATACATTATGATTTTATTTTTATAAGTCAAACTATTACGCTCTTAAGTGGGATTTTTTAACCATAGTGATTAAAAGCATCATTCGACTAATTATATCAAAAATAATGTATTCTTAATTACATCAATCAAGCAGGTGGAACCAAAGATACTAGTAAACCATGAGAACATCTTTATATGTCACAGTATCACCTATTAATTAAGGTCAAACCAATATAATTTGTTCATTATGTGATTCTCCAGAACTTGATCTTCTTCAATGCAACATATCGCAGCCGAATCACCCACTTATGTCATTTTCTATTTCACATTTTCTCAAACTTCTTAATACAAATAGCAACAAAAATTTACGCGACTATAAAACTTAATTAGGAACGATTTTAAATAGCATAAATTTCGAAAGTCATATTACTTTGAGACATGCAACTGCTATGTATTCTATAATCCAACAAACAATTACTACACCAAATAGGGAATATATGGCTTTGAAGTATTCCACGAAATAATAGTGCAATGATCACTAAACGATCAATCATTTGGTTAGCAAAACACAATTTGATTTAACGAGCAGAAGCACAAGATCTGCTCCAATTTTCATACGAGAAACCGATATCCACAAATATGTAGTTCATTTACAATTTTATGTTTTCATTACCGGTTGCTATACACATTGGTGTGATCAAACAGAGGATGATAATTCAAATTTGGAGCCCACTAACTTCGTGGATTGTGATCTTATCTTCAAACGAGCACTAATGATCAACTAGATGAAGACCATTTAATTTGGTTGGACAAACTTTTTTCCATCTCATTGTCAATCTTAACTTCAGTGTGACGTATTTAAATTCTTCTCTTTATCTATTGGCTATTATATTAAGTGGACAATGAATGTTGTACTAAAAAAATATCATTATTTTATGAAAAATTGGCAAGCACAGACTAACAAAAGTTACAAACAGGTTTTCTGTGACTATCTTTTTCACCAAGAATTGAACTAAGTAGCGATTCTATGGATAATTGAATATTATATTTAAAAATTATAATATCTCTATTAGTAGCAGTCACTATTGTATTATGTTTTTTCCTATAATTTTACTTTAAAATGAGAATTTAATAATTTTAAAAACAAAAGTATCTAGTCATAATTATTTATATTTTTGTAAGAGATTTAATCATTTATAATATTAGTTGCAATAACTACTACTTAAGAAAATTATTTGGATATTTTTATTATCTTGTCCATTTCATTCTAAAAGATGATAGTTGAAGTCTAGCTTGAAGTCTATGATCCATCAAACAAATTTATCGTAATCACCGGTTCTTGAAAGTTTGTAATAAGTTAAGTTTGAAATTGAAGAAACGATGTAAAAACAGAAAACTCAGAACGACCAAGTACTGGTCTCCTATAAATACGAGATGAGCAAAATTCATATTCTTCAATTGGGAAGTGAAAATCAAACCAAAAGACGTCAAAAAAAAAGAAAAAAACTAAACCAAAAGATTCAAAGATGCACACAACTTTTAAAGGGCCTGAGAACTCGCCAATAACCTTAAACTCACTTGATAATTCTGATAATTTAATGGGAACTTATTTTAACGAAATAGCTATTTCAATCTTAGTCCTACAAACCTTTACGTAAAAATATATTGTGAATCTCAATACCATCATAACAATGAAATTGACGAAAATATTGTTCAACCGTGTTAAATTTAGGTAAACCACGATTAATGAATTTGTAATGTTGGCTGTTCAGCTTCGACCGTTCCCCGTCGTTATTCAACGCCCTAACTCTCCGATGATCAGGTGGAAGTGAACACACGCGCCAGTTGTGAGCGTGGAGGTAAAACTAAACACGGACGCAAATAGAATCAACCATGTCGAATTTAAGAGTTTATAAACAGTTACTTTTTAACTAAGGACTTGAGCTCAACAGCTGTGTGGGACCCCTGTAAGAAGCATCCCACCGTCAATCACGTGTTACATCAGACTCCATCTACCGCCACGTATCATCGATCCAAACGCTCATTCTCCATAATCATCTGCTCGCTCTTCACAAGTCACCGGAATCTGTTTTGGGGAAACAAAATTGAAATAAAAAAAACATACTCTTTGAGACCTCTTTGTTTCACAGTTGTCACGAATTTAATTTATAATTTATTTATAGTATAATTTAATCTTAGATACCACCCTGGAATATGTATATGGTGATTAAGAACATCATAAGTTTGTAATAGAAAAATAAAACAAGATTTGAATGTGGCATGTTGCTTCCACTTAATCAGTGATAATGATACATGAACCATAATCATATGGCATGTTAGTGATTAGACTGTTACTTCACTTACTTTCTCTAATGTTCCCGAACAAAGGATATTAACTGCTCTAATATGTTCCAATAGATTTATATAAGAAACAATGTTTTTGAGAATGTTTTACGCTATGGTTTTCATTACATCGACCTTTTATCATTTGATACATTTTCTACAGAAAGTTATATATATATATATATATATATATGTATATATACATTAGAAATGTTACTTTGAAGATAAAGGGTCTTTATGAACAAATAACTAAACTTAGAAGTGGTTCTATTTTCTGATCGGTCATTTCAAAATACAAACATATGTCAAAAAAGATAGTTTCAACTACTTCTCTACCAGTTTTTCTACGAAGTTCCAGAATTATATTGTAGTTTTTGTTCGGTTTAATACCATTTTTTGCTTACCATTATTTTTTTTGTGAGAGATAGGTAGAGTCCATAAGAGATTTGAATTCTTACACACTTAACTTTTTTTGAAAATAAATTATATTTTAACGTTGATATGATATGAATAATCATAGTTCTCATTCTGAGGTTCGGAAGGATCGAATTGTCTCTGTTCTTTAGTTGTTACATCACTTTTGGTCCTTTACTTCTTCATCTATCTTTCTATTTGTTTATTTTTAAAAATAATTAATGTATCACAATGTTCTTAAATGAAAAACATATCCACCAATCGCATCGTCTATAACAATTTTCAGAATTTGCCAACAGCTGTGTTTTTTAAAAGATTAACCTTTACCACTCATTGATTGCAAAATAATTGCGAATAATATTTTTCAAAAAGACGAGATGCTTCTCTCTTTTCCCCTTCCCTTTTTTGATTTGTTTTCATATTCATTTTAGCGTATAAAACTTTTGTTTGTTAATGGATGTATTTATTGGTAAAATACTTACCTAACTATTCCGCCAAATTTAGACTTTAACTGGTACCTATTTTGAAAAAAATGAAATCTCAAACATATATTTTTCCGTTTGAAGCAAAATAAAGTTTGTCTTACGAATCTTTTGAAATGCTTAAAACTGGAATCGTTGGCATTCTAATTTTGGACTAGGTTTCCTTTTCTTCTATTTGACAAAAAAAAAAAAATTGTGAAGATCAGTGAAGCTACGGTGAGGTTGCTTATAGAAAATAGAATCCTTTTTATAAAAAAATGAAAAGACAAAACCGTAGGTTGGCTGCGGAACGCGTAATGTAGAAGCTGATTTAAGATTCGTTACATTTCAACAACACCATTACCGGTCCGACCCCGACCGAATCACGTCACCCACCCCCGACATTCGGGTCGGATCTTATCCAATCCATTTTTAATATATAATCCATTTTTTTGTGTCAACCCAACTAACTATCGGCATTTTTGAACTGAAGTCTTCTTCACGAACCCCTATTTTATGTCAATCTTTAATATACAACCCCTTACATTTATGTATTGCTAGTCAACCCTGCAATCATCAATGTTATTTTGACCAAGTAATCAATGAATCCAGATGTCAATTAATAAACTAAGGACAAGAGTTAAAAAATTGCAAATTTCAGTGGTAAACAAAACTTTACATGATAAATTTGCAAAAGGTTCAAATGATTTAGTGGATGGAGATAAACTAATCCATTTATTAACTAAATCATTTTACTCCATCTGTTTTATTATATTTGATTTTCTAGATTTTTTTTTCTTGTTTCATAATATTTGATTTCCTACATCTAATTAATGCATGTTTCTTCTTTAAATTGAATGAATAATATTAATGCATGTTGCTTTACTCCATTAATGTGCAGTTAAAAAAGAAAAAGTAATAATAAAAATAATGAAATCAGTTGTAAAAGTAACTTAATTAACAAAAATAAACAGTAAATAATTGAGCATTTATAGCTTTCTTAATCTGTGTGTAAATATTCAGAAAATCAACTATAATGAAACAGAAGGAATATTTTTTAAAGAGAACAATTTTATGTACGTATCATTTTTTAATTTATATTTGATTTATTTATGTTTGTATCACCGTGATCAAATTTACAAATAAAAGTTGTCTAATCCACAAGTGATTAGTCTACTCCATTTGCTACAACCATTCAAGGTTAAAGATTTACTAAACCTGAAAATTAATGCTTTTCTAATATTGATTATGATTCTTTATGCTTACAAATATTGTTTTTAATTTATGTCAATAAAAGGGGTTATTTTGTAAATAAGGAAAAAGGGGTTGTGTTTCTAAGGAAATAAGAATTTCGGGTAAATTCTGAAAACATATGAAGTATATAAACACATCATCTTCTCGTACACACCACCAATCCTTTGTAATATTATTATACTCTCTTTTTTTTTTTTGGTCTCGCTAAAACGAACGAATCAGTGTCGGCTCTTGGGTTCCGGAAAAAAAAAAAAAACTCAGAGAACTGAAACCAAAAAAGAACATTGTACGTCGGATCCAAAACGCGTATCATACAAACGCTTTACTACTCTGTGAACGCTTCCCCTTCTCTTCATTGCTCGGAAATCGCGTCTTAAGGCAATGTGCTGAAACTGAGTCAGGGTCCGAGTTGGCGAAGTGTAACTTGGCGGTTTAGACTAATCTCAGGTTGGGTTTTGTGAGAAACCGCGTTTCCAAGTAAGTGCGTTTGCGGCAGAAAACTTTCTTTCCAAGAAAGATTTTATTCTTTTCCCAGTATGCAAAGCTGATTCTTTCTCGTTGATTTCTTCTACGTAGAGGAAAGATTTCGATTTTTTTTTCGTCTTCATCTGTTTTTGGGATAACATCCTTCTGACAAAATTGAATTCGTGTATAAAACTTTCCTGTCTGTAAATTTTCCGGGAAAGTTTTTCATTTGTTTTTATTAGCTGGAAATTGGAATAATCTGAGGTACCGCAAAAAACTACTAAAAACTGGAAAAGAAAAAAACATTTTTTAGATATCAAATGCTATAAAAAATTATGTAAATAGACAGTTCGGATCTAAATCAAGAATTTTGTCTACTTATGTATTGTTTCTTCCAAACTGGGGGATCTTGTCTTTTTAAGTACTATAATGCCATTTTTGTTAGCTATTGCCTTTTTACTTGTACTTCAATTTATAACGTTCTTTAATTTATTTCATTCCTTGTTTCTTTCGACAGAATGTTCAACTTCTTCAAGTGGGTGTTTCTGTTGGTATGTTCATTAGTAATTTTGGAAACAGAGGCACTGTATGTCAATATTACATTTGTTCGAAACGCAGTTGCAAAAGGGGCCGGTGAGTTTTATTTATATATCCCCAATTTGGTCAAAGTTTGTTTCTTTTGTGTTTTTTATCTTTAATTCATTTTTTTTTTTTTTTTTTTTTTTTGCAGTTTGTTTAGATGGTAGTCCACCAGCTTATCATTTAGACAGAGGTTTTGGAACTGGAATCAACAGTTGGTTGATACAGCTTGAGGTTTTGTTCTGTTTTTCTTGTGTTCTGTTATTGTTCATGCTTTTACTTACTCGAGCATGCTCATATCGAATACTATATCGCCTTTTTCGGTTACTGGTTTGGTCTTTTGGGAGTTAGAAGATTGATTTTTGAATAAAAATTTATGGAATTGATTTGAGTGATTTTGGAAACGAATGGTTTAGGGAGGAGGATGGTGCAATAATGTCACAAACTGCGTTAGTAGGATGCATACTCGATTGGGTTCATCTAAGAGAATGGTGGAGAAACTTGCTTTCTCAGCTATTCTTAGCAATAAGAGACAATATAATCCTGGTATGAAATGCAATTAGCTTTTGGACTAACTGTTGATCAAACATAAGTTGGGTTTTTTTTCTTATGGTTTGTGGTTGTTTTCTTCTTGGGAAATGACAGATTTTTACAATTGGAATAGAGTAAAAGTTAGATACTGCGACGGGTCATCATTCACAGGAGATGTACAGGCAGTGAATCCTGTGAGTATTAAGAAGAAAACTTTTGAGATTTATTTTGGTGTTTTGTCAAGGAAGAGAAAACTCAACTCTTCCTTATTCCGATAATCGTAATGGTGATTTGATCAGGCTACTAATCTTCACTTCAGAGGTGCTCGTGTTTGGCTAGCTGTTATGCAGGAGCTGCTTGCTAAAGGCATGATAAACGCCGAGAATGTAAGCTTTTTTGTGTTTCCTTCATCAGCCTCCATCAACTTTTGCAAGGTCTTGATCCTTGAAAGTTGTCTAAAACGTTGATGAAACTATGGCAGGCTGTTTTGTCTGGGTGTTCTGCTGGCGGGTTAGCTACTCTGATGCATTGTGACAGTTTCCGTGCTCTGTTACCGATGGGTGCCAAAGTAAAATGTCTTTCAGATGCTGGTTTTTTTCTCAATACGTAAGGCAAATTTTTCCTTTGTAAAACATTCTTTCCTTTGTATAATCTAAACTTCTTTACAAGCTAACATAAAAGACATTTTGATCTGTATGTTTTCAGAAGAGATGTCGCAGGAGCTCAATACATTAAATCATACTTCAACGATGTGGTTACTCTACACGTAAGCTTTAATTTGCATTTTCCTCTCTAGTGATAGTGGATATATACAGTTGCTCATTCTTGTTTTGAAACTTTTTTAATAAAAATGTAATCGCAGGGATCAGCTAAGAATTTGCCGAGGTCATGCACATCAAGATTGACCCCTGCAATGGTTATAAACATTCATGTTATCTCCTTAAAGCCGTTTATGTTTCTCTTCAGTTTTCACTGATGTACTCATTACCAACAAATCGCAGTGTTTCTTCCCACAATACGTGGCTCGCCAGATTAGAACTCCTCTTTTCATTCTTAATGCCGCATACGACTCTTGGCAGGTAGATTATCTCTTTTTCACAACCAGAAGTCTCTAAAGAACTAATCTTTCAGCTAGAAGAACTATTCTGCGTTATCATCTAACTTCAAAACTCAGCTTTAAAACTTAACATTTTATTTTGCAGATAAAGAACATTTTGGCTCCGCGTGCTGCTGATCCTTACGGAAAATGGCAAAGTTGTCAACTTGACATCAAGAACTGCCAACCAAACCAGCTCAAAGTTATGCAAGGTTAGCCTCAAAACCAGAAAACTATTCAAGAATCTTTGAGTTTTTTGGATCCTTTTCTTAAGCGTCAATGCAGAAAAAGGTTTTAAAATATTATGGATTTATTTTTCTTTTAGATTTCAGATTAGAGTTCTTGAGAGCGGTGATAGGTTTAGGGAGATCTTCATCAAGAGGGATGTTCATAGATTCTTGCTACACTCACTGCCAAACCGAGACACAAACTTCATGGTTCTGGCAAGATTCTCCAATTCTAAACCGCACGGTAAAAGTTCACTAAAACCTCTACTCCAAATTCTTAACAAAAGGTCACAAGAATCAAATGTACATTGTGTTCTTCTGATCATAGTTCTTCTTAAATTTTTGTTTTTGGGAGCAGACAATAGCAAAAGCTGTTGGAGATTGGGTTTATGACAGAACATTGTTTCAGAAGATAGATTGTCCTTACCCTTGTAACCCTACTTGCCACCACAAGGTTTTCACTCCTCAAGATGCTCCCCCAATTTAAGAGATTCTACCATATACATATACAGATTTATTATTTTTTAAAGAAAAAATTGCTTATAAATGATTCATTTGTCACATATAGTGAGAAGTTCTTAGGGTTTTAGGTATAGAAGAAAAAAGAGAAAAAGAGTGTGATTGATTCTTGAGTGTTGAGGGTAAGCAAAACGAGCAATTTTCTTCAGCATTTATCTTGTTTGCTGATTAGTTGCTCTGTTTCTCTTCCATTCTTATGTAAAATGCGACATTGTTACTTTTTATTCTTATAAATAAAGTGTTAGTTCTTTTTTTTTCAGCTCTAAAAATATAGTACAAAAAATCCTGGAAATGTGTACAATGGGAACTTAATAAAGGGCGTATAACTCCAGTTTTTGCAGAAATATATTCATACTCATTTGAAATGGTTTCAAAATTCCTAATATTTGAAGGGTGTGTTAGCTTTTAAGATACCATACTTAATATATAAAAAGGATAAATTAGAAAAACCAGCCTTGATAAATTAGAAAACCACCCTTGGATATACATAATTTGTGTGTATGTGTGTGTTTTTGACATATCCAAAAATTCGTGTTATTCGCAAGATCTAATATGTTTTTTTTTTGTTGTCTTGCTATATTTCAACATGACATCGTATTTATAAAAGTCAAACGTATAATTAACAGATCATATTGTACGTTATTCAAGTATGTATGATATTTATAAACATCACACGGGTACGTAGTAAAAAAATGACATATTATTTAAACGTATAACAGATATATGTTCATGCATTTAAACATGTTTATTTTTGGTTTATGAGTGTGATTTTCCGCCAGTATGTTTACCGAAGCAGGAAGGAGGCTTGGGACTAAGGAGCTTATCGGTTTGGAACTCCACCATGTGTGTTGCGTCTTATTTGGCTCCTGTTCTCAGAGAGCGGGTCGCTTTGGGTAGCATGGCAGAAGCTCCACCACTTAAAGAGGGAAAAGTTTTTGGAGTATTCAGCAACGCAGTAATGATCCTTGGCCGTTGGCGAGAAGATTCATCCGTTGTAATGTGAGTTACGGTCTCTCTGCTCGCTTTTGGTTTGATGATTGGACCCCCTTTGGACCGCTGATTGATCTAATGGGAGCCTCGGGGCCTCGTTCAATGCGCATCCCTATTGATGCTGTTGTTGCTGACGCGTGCGTGCAATCCTCATGGATGGATGCTTGCTGCGCCACGTTCGGATGAAGGGGTAATGCTTCATGCATTTCTCTCCTCCAACTCCACTCCTATTTCTCCAACCCAGACTCTTTTGCTTGGTGCGTAGATGGATTCAACTGCAACGGATTCTCTTCCTCTAAAACTTGGGAGGCCATCAGACCGCGTGAGGATTCCAAGGTCTGGGCAAAATTCGTTTGGTTCAAAGGCTCTGTTCCCAAATTTGCTTTCCTTATATGTGGATAGTGCAGCTAAATCGCCTCCCAACCAGAATGCGTTTGGCGGCCTGGGGGATTAATACTCCAACTTCGTGTGGTCTATGCTCTGCTGCGGAGGAAACTCGGAACCATCTTCTGATCTCCAGTGTAGTTTCAGTACACACATTTGGGCTAAAAGCCTTAGCCAGGATTGACCAACAGCAACGGTTGTTCCACTCCTGGGACTCCGTCTTCAATTGGGCTGAGCAATCATCGGACCGAGCTCCCTTACTTCTCCGTAGAATTGTCGTGCATGCTGCATGCTTGTGTGTACAACATCTGGAGTCAGAGAAACAACGTCCTATACAACAACATTGTTCTAAGCCCAGATCAGCTCTTCAAGACTATCGCTCGCTAAGCAGGTTACAAACCTCATCTCTGCCAGGCGACACCGTAGGAAGTTTGCAAACCTGATGACACTATGGATCTAAAGTGTCCAGATCTTACCTTTGTAAAATCTCTGCTGCTATGTTTTTTATTCTTTTTTACCATAGTAGTATGTATATGAGTTTAGCTCTTTTATAAAACTCCAATTTCATTAATATGATATTTATAGTTTGGCACCAAAAAAAAAAAAATTGTCCATGTCGTCTCATTTATACACATCTCCTCTCGCTTATTATTTTCTTAAATTTTCCAACTCCCTTCCTCATTTTGCTTATCACCCTTATAGAATTTGGGGAATATAAATATGTTGCTACGAATCTTAAAATTTCTGTGTGGTTTATGCTTTATGCGCAACCCATATGCCATTATGTTGTTTGTATGATTGCACGCGGTTTCCGATCGATCATTTTCCTTTAGAAAAAAGAAGAGAAAATCATCGATGAAGAATTTCAACTGAGATCTCCAGGTAGCTTCCTCAACTAACAATTATTCTTTGAGTTTTTTTAAAAAAACTAAGTCTTATACTTAATCCATAGAATTAACATCAACCCACCGTCTTCATTAACACAACTTTACAATATATAATATCGTTATTCGTGTTATAATATAAAAGATCATATAATAGAGAAAGGTCTGACTTTTCAAATTTGTATACTTTACCGAAAAGCTCAAAATATATTTTGGCTGTTGCGCAGCTAATCGTTAGTGCACCGACACTTTTAGTACTCGTGCCAAACCATACATTTTCTTCCTTCTTTTATTTTTAAATTTGGACCATTTTCTTCCTTATTTGCGTTCAGAGATTTATATCTTACAAAGCTAATAATCTAAGAAAAATCATTCATAATATGGATGTGAAAAGTCTAGGTGAAAAGACGCATAGATTGATACCTTCAAAAATGAAATTTAGATAACTATGTATACTCTTATATTTTTGAGGTCTAATAAGAAAGCAAACCGAGAACAGGCTTTTTTTTTTGTTAGTTGGTTAAGCACTTAAAGTCTTAAACCGTTAAGACAGAAAATATAAACTAGTTTAAACCGTATTGTTGAATCGATATTGGAAATAGTTAAGTTACTAATAGAAAAAATATAAACTGACCAATTAAATAAGTTAATTACTAATAATTTTCTGAATTTACTTTGAAAGTATACATCGATCTATCAATTCGGGTTTTAGATTAAAGAGCATTAATTAAAAAGGCAAGATTTATAAAACGTAGTTTCTTGACGTTAGATAACATGGCGAATCTACTGACACGCACGCTATGCCACTCACAAGCGTCATAAAAAAGAAAAACCTTTATACAAATTAAAGCAAAAGAATAAACAAAGCAAATTAAAAGAAACAACAAAAGTTGCAACTTGTGGATCTATCTATATAATGGAAACGACAACAATGGCTGTCTTCCATGGTCTTCTAAGTCTCTCTCTAATTTTCCTCTGTATCCATTTCATAAACAAAAGAAAAGGTGAATAACTCTCTCTAAGCAAAGAAGAATTTGAAAGACTCCATTTTCATAAGGTAAGCTTTATTTTCGTGAATTCTTTTGTTTCTCAACATATTGTATCCTTTTTATAACGAGACTTTTATGATTCTGCAATTTGATCTGTACTCAGAATGTATCATTTCATAGAATTTACTACGTAATGTAATAGTCGTGTTAGCTATTTATCACTAAATCACCCATTTAGACCTCAAGAAGCCTGCAAATCAAAACAAATGTTCTTATCATTTATGTGAATTTCAGAGTTTATTTTGGGAATTGATGTGATTCGACTATTCCAGACAGTTCTCTACGGTGCGGTCCAATATTTTTAATTCTTAGAATATGACTTTGCTTAAACCAAAAAAAAAGAAAGAATATGACTTTGTTGTTACATAGCGAAAGGCAATATGATGATGGGAGAGGGTATTTCGGGTATCTCCAAATATGTACAGGCCGTCATAGGCTAATACCAAATCAGCAATGTTGTTAAACAACGGATTAGTACACTAGAATGGGTGTCACCAGAAACCAATTTGTGTATCTAGATATGAGTATAAACAATTTTCAAATAATAATATTTGTTTAGTAGACTACACTGTGATCAAGGTAGTAATTACATACAACTATAAAGGTTGTCTGAGAAAAGCTAGAAGATTTTTAAACACGCACATGAATGATGGATGTCTAATATTGGATTCCTGGAATCTTAAAAACAAATGACATAAGGGCTATTTTTATTGGAAAATTACAATGTAGTGTATTTCCATTGAAATTGTAGAATAATAAAAATAATTGAACATATATCGCAATAACACATAATTATAATATTCATATAATTCCACATTTTATTATATAAAACCATAACTTCCGATCAATATATATCTAAAATGTAATTAGTTATGATACTCTCTATCAGGTATGCTATTTTTTTTGGGTTAAAACACTCTATCTTTTAATTATGATTGTAAGATTTGACGGGGAAAAAACTTAATACTGTGTTTTCTCTTCTAAGATAATTATATCATTTACTAATACCCTGGAATGGAGTTCCACTATTTGATTATTTCGTTAATTATAAGAACTTTAACTGAATCTTAAGCTTATTTATATTTTTGAAAAAATTGTCATAGAATGGGGAGGCTTAAGCAATGTTGGTCAAGTCTGCTAGTGTTGGCAGCAATGGTGATCGGAACCGGAGCTGTTCCCATCACTTATCTCCAAAGCGCCGTCGCTAAAGGAGCCGGTAATATGCAACAACGGTTTACATACTTTCATATAATTTAAGTTTTTATTTTGCATTAAATCGGATAAAATTCAGCAAGTTATTGAGAACATTTGTTTATATTCCTGTAGTGTGTTTGGATGGGAGTGCACCAGCTTACCATTTCGACAAAGGGTTTGGTTCGGGGATTAACAACTGGATCGTTCATATGGAGGTAAATACTTGATTTTGTTGCAATTTCTTTGGACCACTTTAATATTTGTATCGTTGGAATTAAATGGTGAGTATAAATTGTAGTACTTGATAAAGTAAGTTACAATTTGTAGAATCGAATTGTAAACATAGTGTGAAATGTTATGTGCTAGGGAGGAGGATGGTGTACCGACGTGGCTTCGTGTATTAAGCGTAAAGGTACAATGAAGGGTTCGTCCAAATTCATGAACAAAGACTTTGGTTTCTCCGGTATCTTGGGTGGCAAGCAAAACACTAACCCAGGTCTAAACTAGTATTTATTGTTATTTTTTTCATATGATTTTTTTTTAGAGTTAATCGATCAATGGTGTTGAAGTATGAATTTATTTTCTTCAGATTTTTACAATTGGAATAGAATCAAAGTTCGATATTGCGATGGATCATCCTTCACGGGCAATGTAGAAGCCGTTAATCCGGTAATTTTAGTGACTCCATTGTAGATATACTAATATCTATGACAATTTTTTATTTTCCGGTTCCAAAAACTCACATTTTTCTTGTAGCTATTTAAATGTTCGTAATTGAAATCGTAAGTTTTATGATCGGAACCTCGATTATTATTTTTTCAGGCGAACAAACTGTTCTTCCGTGGTGCACGAGTTTGGCGTGCGGTGATTGATGATCTGATGGCCAAAGGAATGAAAAACGCTCAAAACGTATTAAATATATTCATATTTCAACATCTCTTTCTTTTGTATCAAATTATACTTTTTAAATTTCCAACTTATTCAAAACGTTTCAGGCGATACTCTCCGGTTGTTCAGCCGGAGCATTGGCCGCGATTCTACACTGTGACACATTCAGAGCCATACTTCCTCGAACAGCTAGAGTCAAATGTGTTTCTGACGCCGGTTACTTTATCCACGGGTATGTCGTTTGTGGACATATAGTATTATCAATGACATTAAAAATAAAAACTAATAGAACCATTAATCATCATTTTTTTTTAATCATCACTGAATTTGACTTTATGAAACAGTAAAGATATCTCAGGAGGATCATACATCCAATCGTACTACAGCAAAGTCGTCGCGCTCCACGTACGTACAATTTCCCTCTCAAATATCTCTCTATTGTAGCAAATTCTCTTAAATCAAGAGGATAATCCAAAGTAAGTCATGCTTAAATCATTTTGACAGGGATCTGCAAAGAGTCTTCCTCTTTCTTGCACCTCAAAAATGAGACCAGAACTCGTACGTACTTAATTATATCTATCATCGTTTATCTCGGAACCTTTTTGCAAATATGGAGCAACATTAATTAACGTGTTATTTGATCGTTTTTTTTCTCAGTGTTTCTTCCCGCAATATGTCGTTCCTTTCATGCGCACACCGCTTTTTGTTATTAACGCTGCCTTCGATTCCTGGCAGGTCCGGTACATAATACATTGCATAAATTATAAATACACACACACATATATTGAGTACTAATGTACTATATGGTAAAATTTTCAGATCAAGAATGTTTTGGCTCCGACAGCTGTTGATAAGCGCAAAGAGTGGAAGACTTGTAAGCTTGATCTCAAGAAATGCTCTGCCGCTCAGCTCAAAACTGTCCAAGGTACATTACAATTCAATAACTAAACCGAGTTTCCGGTTTATAATAGGTGAAAGAAGAATCGGTGGTTAAATTAGATTAAACCGGATATCGCAGGGTTTAGGGATCAGATGATGCGTGCATTGTCACCGGTTCACAGTACACCGTCGAGAGGGTTGTTCTTGGACTCGTGTCACGCTCATTGCCAAGGCGGAAGCGCCGCCTCTTGGTCCGGTGCCAAAGGTCCCCAAGTCGCCAATACGGTAATAAAAACATTATACACTCATAATTGTTTTTGGGTTTTGATTACGTTTCTAAATTTCGGATTTTTGATTTTGGTTTTTTTTTTTTCACAGAAAATTGCGAAGGCAGTGGGAAACTGGTTTTATGGCCGGAGTGCGTTCCAGAAGATAGATTGTCCGTCGCCGATTTGCAATCCTACTTGTCCTGCAATTTCTACTGATGAATAGATCTTTATATTCTTAAATGTTCGGTTTTTAATTTCAAATTTTCAACCAAAATCTCTCGAATATTTGGGGTTTGGTTTTGCAAATCGGATGAATTGCCATTGCTGAGAAATAAGAGTTTAAGCCAAAACAAATTGCAATTGCAAAAACTGCAGCAAAGTTGAATAAAGAGTATATTTTTTCCATTTATTTTAAGATTGCTTCATGTATTCATCGAGTTCTGTGTGAAAAGTTTTCACCTTTATTCCAATTTCGAGAGAGAGAGAGAGTACACAAAGCTTTGAAATTGTGATTTGGGGAAACAAAACCTCCGACTTTACTGGAGAGGTTCGACGAAGATCATTGCTTCATAAATCGATTTCACAGTTTCGGGGCACATCGATGGATTCGGCGTTTGTGGATAGAGCTTGGGAAAAATGGGTTACGGGTAACGTCGGCTCTTCAGGTAAGTCTCCGATTATTGTTTCTTCTTCTTCATCTTCTTTTGGAGATTCTGAAGAACCCAGAGAAAAAAAGGAATCTTCTTTTGGTGGGTTGATAAATTGTTTGAAATTTTGATCCAGGACATCCATTGAAGGCTGCTGTTTTGATTAACTATGACCCTACACTACCTTCTCGTCTATTGTCAACAATGTAAGCAAATTCATTCTCTGTTTCCTCCTGCATTATAAAGCTTGTTCTTAAGATTGGTGTTTTGCAGTAAAAGAGATCGAAAATTGATTCTTGTCTCTTTAACCGAAATTTGATGTATGCTTTTGGATTTCGATTTAGTCTCTCTGAATATAGCTCTGTTTATTCAGATTCACTTAACCTTGAGGCTCAAATATGAATGATTTGCAGAGCTGAACAAGAAGGGATTGATATCTATCCAGTTGAGCTTAAGCAATTCACCGATTTCATGAGACGTGGCAATCTTCCTACCGAGACCTTTGTTCTTGGATCCAACCAATGTAAGTTTTTGTCTGCTTATTTTTGTTTCCTCTGCTTGGAGAGTAGAGTACTTGTAGTTTAATAATAGGACTTGAAATTTGTAGACATAATAACATCAATTCACGAGAATTGGTTTGCTGCTCGGTGCTTAAACACTACGCAGCCTGCTGGCGAAGGAGCTATTGTTATGCAGACTGCAGTTTACGTATTGGTTGCTCTGTGAGTGCTCTGCATACTCTGGCTCAATTGCGTCTCTCGTTCCAACATTTCAATCTAGAACCAAAGCGCTCATGAAAAGTTCTGATTTTACTGTGTTCTTGTAGATATGATGGATCAATTGGTTCAGCTTCTCAAGCTATGGCTGCAGCTGATCAGTTTGCATCGCAGCTGAGTCGGAAAAACTTATAGCTTCATCTTTTGCGAAGATCACGAGAAAACACTATTCTCTGTTGTTAAATTACTTAACTTTGATTGTGGTTTGAGAAGTATCTACGAGTTTCGATAAATTGATCTTTCGTTTATTCTTATCTTCTATAACTATAAATGTGAGAAATCAGTTGATGCAAGCCTGTGGTTATGGGTGCAGAAAAAGAAAACCCCGTTTTTGTAAACAACTCATCTCAGCATTAGATTCGTTTTAGTTCAGTTCCAGTCCTGGAAGAATCCTCAGTTGTTGTTCTGTAATCTCTGAAACTGATCAAGTTCTTGATGCTAGTGTCGTTTCTTGTTGGATTTTGATATCAGAAGCTTCAAACTTTATTTCAGATTCATCAGTGTTGTTGAGGTAATGAGGATCATGTTTGCAAATGTCTCCTCTGACATAGCGGGAATTACCATTTAAAGCAAGTGACTCACCCTACATTTACCTTTTCAAGACCATTATGTTGTGTAAATATATATCATCAAGATGAATAATTTACATGTGGGTCTCTTTCAACCATCAATATAATAAGACAAGAGATTGGTTTCTGCATTCATCAAGAACCTAAATCAAAAGCATAGATAAACCCTATTAAAGAAGTACTCAGAAGAACAAATAGCGGGAAGAAAAAAAAGCAGCCTGTATAATAATCATCTGAAGTCCTGAGATGGTGAAGGAGAAATGTGAAATCAGAGAGAATGAAGCAGTTTCTTTAAATTTATTGTTTTTCAGTTTAAATTATATCCAGACTAACAGTACTAAAAATCATAACTCAGAAACCGTATCGAACAAAAGTTGATTCTTCTGTATCAGAAAAATCCAAAAAAGAAGAAACTAGATTGGATGGTAGATTTGTAACCATATATTTCTGTACACAACATAGAGGTTGGGTTGAGCTTGAAAGGGAAACTTCAGGGCCTGGCAATTAAAAGCTTGAATCACATGATGCTTTCTTGTGTTTTTGTATGTAAAAACTCCAACACTTTTTGTGAACGTCTATGCTTGCATCCTTTAATAGAGAGCATAATAACTCCAAAAATAATAATTCTGGATCAGTTACTATTCACTAGGATGTTCAATCTAGGTTTCAATTTATTTTAGGGTGTCTTTTTAACTGGTTGGTTCTGTTTTTAAAAATAGAAAAAGAGTGTTTTTTTGGCTTCTATTGATTGTTAGGTGATTCAATTTATATTCAGACTAAACATCTGTGACAAGAACTTGTATGGTTAAACATATATTGCAGCTAATTAGCTGGATAAAACATACATTAAGGAGAATCTTTTGCCATCATCAACTTGTACAATTGATTTACTTTTGTTATTATAATATGATGTGAAAAATACAATTAAAAGTAGCTGAAAACTCCCACCTGCAATTGACAAAACAAAACGAACTTTTTGACCAAATTGCTTAAATTAGCGTTAGTGAGTGTACACATTAGAATTTAGTTCCAAGTAAAAAGTCTGTGAAGAAACAAAAATACAAGAAGATAACTAAGGTACACATTAATCTGCAAACGAAATGCATCGTAAAACAACCAACCAATTTTAGGTAATAAATACATTATCAAACAGCCAACTAATTTTGTAAGTCACATTAAAACTTTTTTGTTTTGTTACGTTTGAGTTCCACTAACATCATTAGTTGCATTTATTCCGCACTAACGGTACTACTTGGATTAATTCTGCTTCTCACTTTCTTTAGTTACACACCATTTGTTGTCTTAAAACATTTCACAAGACTAATTCAACATTACATATAAAAAAATGGAAAAAATTCTTCATTTCCACATGACTGCAACAACAACATCTCTCTTCATCTCTTTGCAGTTTGCACAATAAACTTCATTGTCATATACAAAGCATACTCATATACAGTGGATTATCAAATCGTATTTACTCAATTTTCAACACACATGTAAATTTGTGTGCATATAAATTTACTATTCAGATGTTAAGGAACCATAACCCAGCATTTTAGTTGACCAAAACAACAAAAACAACCAAAAATACACAGCATAATATAGGTAAATGAGATTTGAGTAACCTTTTACTAATCAAAACAAGTCAGTTTGATTATATTGTTAAACCGTATCCAATGTAAAACCAATCATAAACCCTAAAGTTCCTGAAGAACAGAGCTCTGCAACGTCATATGTACCCTTAGAAATCAAATCTTATGGAGACTATTAAGAATTAGCTATTAGAACAGACTGAAAAGAGAATTAATCACACTAAAACCCTAGATCTTGAATTCAAATGTTCTCTGGCATCTATCAAATTCTTAAATTTTTCAAAACATGGGCTGAATAATTTCACTTGACTTTATAATTAAAACTAAAACCTGTCAACATTTGGGGAACAGACATAGAGATTGAAGAAGATTCAAAACATCACAGATGATTAAAAAGCGTGAAATCATCATCTAAATCTGGAGAAACCAAATAGCCTATCAACAACACAAAATTTTTTTTTTTTTAAAACCCTTTTTTCCCTTGCTTTCTAGGTTTTTTTTTTATCTAAAAAACTTAACACATCAACCAAACAAAGAACATGAAGAAGGAGAAGAATACATGTCTTCCAGATCTGATTGGATTTGGACTTTTTCTTATTTCACCGGCGAGGCTCCGATTCAGTTGATGCAAGGCGGGATCCAATCCCTGCTCACAAACCAACAAAGGAAAACTCACGTGGCCGTGTCAGCAAATTAGTTCCCGACCTGCACCAAGCGAATCCGAGCCCGACGGTGACTCTAATGGCGAAAACAGAGACAGAGAGAGAGAGAGAGGAAAGATAGAAGAAGCAAAAGTTTTTAGATTTGTAATGACGAAATGAGGCAAAGAGTTGCTTCGGATTTTATATTTTTTCTTAAGAACCCTATCAGGGCTGAGACAACCTTAGCCTCATTGTAGGGTATTTAATACAGATTACGTACCATTCATCTATTGACACGTAGAGGTCTTTGCTTTCACACTAGACTATTGGTAGAGTCGTGAAGAAATGAATTTTCTTCCCAAACCTACTCGAGATTTTTTACCTTTTTAAAAAAATAATAATAATGAAATTACGGAAAAAGACATCACTCACTTCACTCGTACGTGGTTTCAAGTTCAACAGTTAAAACCACGTGAGCGTGATCTGTACATCTCACGTGGACTACTTCTGCGTCTTCCACTTTTTGGACTTTGTGATGTAAATAATATTTGTTGATATTTTCGTGTAAGAATACATATAATTTAAATTAGGAAGTATTTTTAAAGAAAATCAAAATTTCTCTTCCTTTCCATATTATTTCCGCTTTAGCATTTTGACCATTTTGTACTGCGAAATTTATCCACCTGCCTATACTACACTCCATTAGAATCTATCTGTTAAAGTTCAAACATTGAAATATGTAATATGGTAAAAATATATTTACATTTGATCATCTACCATCTAGAACAGACACGTCTAATTATTAGGAATTTATATAACATGAATCTTAATTACAGTTTTTTCAATGAGTTTTTATGAAACTGAACATGTCCTACTATCCCATAAAAAATTCCTGGCCAAACTTATAAGAGCAGACATCACGTGAACTGATCCCAACTTTCAATATTATGATTTCTCCTTAGCATTAATATCCATTTAGTGTAGACTATATAGTGTAGATAGTTAAGTTTTCAAAGGTGCCCTATTGAAGAAATAAACAATGGATAAGAAAATGCCGAAAGTACTTTCCCTAAAATTCTCCATACAGTAGTTGAATTGATTACTACCATCCCTTTTTGATCAAATTTAGTAACGTTTAGTGCTCTATAATTCGGAATATTCGGAAACATCACAACAGAGGATATTCAGAAGGGTGTTATTATATTCGTAAACATTTATGATCACCAAATTTTCACGTTGAGGTTCTTTTTAATAATATATATAAAAGCTAAATAACTTGAACAAGAATATATATTATCCACATAAATTAAAGGAGAATATGATTCCTTTTCTGTGATAATAGACAAATGTGCACAGTCTATTTCATGGTATAGATTCTACACCAATGTATGTGAATGTATTATGGTATTTGGCAGTCTTTTACGGCGCCGACAGTTTATTTTCCTCCATTTCAAATTTTACATTACAGTTTTTCTGCAACACTTTTTGACTATGCGATATTTAATATCAATTAATAATAAATATCTCAAAAGAACTCAACAAATTCCTCTTATTAAAACTTTAGAAAAAGAAGTCCCGTGAATATCGCAAACATTATTTTTAGTATTTTGGCAATGCACGCCTACAGGTTTATATAGTGCGTTCAGGTGCTAATGATGGATTACATGCATTTCACAAAGAAGATAAGATGTGAAAGAAAAGTTTAAGTATCTTCTGGGGGTATGTACCGTTGAATCAGTCAAGTGTCTTGATAATTATAGTTAAGAATTTCCTTCAAGCTAGGTTGTTTATCTACGGATCCTTCTTCATAATAAAGTTCAAGTGTTTCTTGAAATTCAGGAGCATAAAGAATGATGAAAACATTCAGAAGATAAATTTTGGGGGAAATGGGTTGGGTCCAATGGGATGTGAAGGCAAGAACATTAGTAGAAAAAAAGAAAAGAAGATGGTTGGTCCTATATGAGCATTCAGGTGATGCAAAACTGTGAATCAAAGCATACAGAACAGTATGATTCTTGATTAAATTTATGTTTAGAGAAAATAGATTTGCAACTGTCCCAAACCGGATTGTTTTTCGTAGATCTCGTTTGAACAAAAAATAATAGAAGTCTCGGATCTTCTGAAATATATGAAATTTGAATATAAACAGAAGCCACAAAATTTTCTTAAAATGCTTCCGTTTGCCTGTAAAAATATATTTTCTAATTTCTGTCAAAGATGATCAAAATTCAGTTTTGAGAAGGTGATATTGGATCATTGGATTTAAGATCAGCCGACGTGGGCAAGAAAACTCATCGAGCCATGTACAAGTCAAGTCCATGTAGTTGCTTGTTTTGAGAAGAGTAGTGTCATTCTTCTTGCAACATGTATTGTTGGCTAAATCTAATTCCCAGAGAAGAATACGAGAAGAACTTACTTTCGACACATAAAGGGTTTGTTGGATCATCAACTGGTATATGTGGAAACAACAGAGAGCATTCTTTCGTGTGTAGAAATGGGTTGTTGGTGAGTGCTATTGGAATATAAGGCTCCCATGTGTATGTTATTGTAATTAGGAGAATGTTATTGTAATTAGGAAAGAATCCGCGCGTATACGCGGATTTGAATTTATATTTTAAATAATTTGTATTGAACTTTAAGTTTATTATTAATGTATTTTTGTCTAAAATAGTTATATATTTTTTTATTTCTTCTTGATGATATATTATATGTAATCTCTTTTACACCAGTTGTATTAAATAGTTTCATTTTTTCTTCGATCTTTATATTCTTTTTATTCTTGTAAATCGTATTAATATAATATTTGTTAATTTTTTTTAATTTAATATTTGATTTTTTTTGGTTATATATATTTTGTTGATTTCATCTTTTTTTATTACTTAAAAAAAAACCATAGATGATATTTTTATGTGGATATCTTTCTTTTTACTATTATTTTAAATAAATTTTATCTTTTTAATAGTTTATTAAATGTGATTTGTGTTTTATAATTTTATTAGTTGAAGTTTTGTATAAGATTATTTAAAAAATTTTAACGTATTTAGTCTCATAATTTTTTTTCACTTGCATTAAAATTTAATTATATTTTTAGTTTATAAATGAAGTTTAAAACATTTAAAAAATAGAATTGTGCATTTAAAAGTCTTGTATTATATAATATTTATAAGTTTGTATATAGTTAAATTAAATTTGAATTTTATTCTAATATAAATATATATTAATATTTATTTAAGTTTTTAATGTGTTTTAATGTGTTTTAATATGTTTTAATATGTTTTATTGTATTTGCTTTAAATATAATTAATTAATTATTTTATTAAATTTGAAGATGACAGGTGACGCTCTCCCCAGCGCTGATGTGTCACTCAACTGGAGAGAATTGACCAAATTTTATATATAAGATATTTTGATATGTCCTGAGTTAGGTCTCATCCCAATTTCTAGTGTGGACTTATTGATACATTCAATCAATATTATTTAAGATAAAATTGCCATCTATATCTAGTAACTAAGAATTATGACTATGCGATTAAAGTCCGCTACATACTCACAAGTGAAAACAAGACAAATTCTTATCAAGACAAATTTTTATTAGTTGTCGTTTTAGAGAATTTTGTTTGTTTTAAATTAGTTGTCGTTTTCAGTTTTCAATGCAACATTTATTAGTTTTTTATTTTTTAAGATTATTTTTATTATGCAATTTGTTTTATTATTGGTTGAATTGTGTTTAAATAGATAATTAATGATGTTTTTATATTGCAAAACTAAAATAATTAATATTTTCTTAATCTGTGTGCATAACTTTAAAACGACAACTAAATAAATCCGGAGGGAGTAGTTTTCTATAAAAGAGATCAGAATTGGGATTTTAGAAACCTAGAAAATAGATTCAAAGAGCCAAAAATCAAGAATACAAGAGATCAAAGAAGGTGATCAAAATTCAAGCCTTTTTCATCGGAATGTGGCTATGAGAACATCTATCAATGGGATAAAGAGGATCAGGTTAGATGATAACTCTGTCATCACTGACCAAATGGACATAAAAATGGTGTGTGTAGAGTACTACAAGGGATTGCTGGGCTCCTCAAATCATTCTCATATGAATCTAACGTCATGCATTGAATCGGTTCACCCATTCAGATGCCTTTCAGCGTGATTCTTTAGACCGAATATTCACTGCAGCAGATGTAAAAGCTGAATTTTTTGCTTTGCCTTCAGATAAAGTTCCAGGGCCAGATGGGTATACAAGTGAATTTTTCAAGCATTGTTGGACATTGTTGATGAAGAAGTAACAAAGGCAGTCTTAGATTTTTTTGCTGTGGGAAAGATGGAGCCAAGTTGGAACTCCACAGCAATTACTATGATTCTTAAAGTTACTAACGCTGAGAGAGTTTCAGAGTACAGACCTATTTCTTGCTTGAACGCCATGTACAAGGTGATTGCTAAACTCCTTGTTAGACGTCTTGAATGGTTATTTCCTGAAATGATTCAAGAAAATCAAACAGCTTTTATTAAAAAGAGGCAGATTGTGGAGAACGTCTTGTTAGCCTCAGAATTAGTTCAAGGCTACAACAGCAACGGTACATCAAAAAGGGGTATGATCAAAATAGACTTGAAGAAGGCTTTTGATTCAATGAGTGGAATTTCTTGATCGATATTCTGAAGGCAACAATCTTCCCGAGGAAATTTATAAATTGGATAAGTCAGTGCATCAGTTCTACGAGATTTTCCATTATGGTTAACGGCGAGCTCTGTGGGTATTTCAAAGGGAAAAAAGGTCTTCGCCAAGGTGACCCTCTCTCGCCCTATCTCTTTGTGATTGGAATGAATATTTTATCTCACCTGCTTGATCTCCAGTTCATCAACGGTCTGATTGGCTTCCACCCGAGGTCTCAAAATCCGAACGTCACGCACCTAATCTTCGCTGACTATGTGATGGTGTTTTTCGATGGAGAAATTTCATCGATGAGAGAAATTCTGAGTCTTCTGGATTATTTCTCAAGAATCTCGGGTCTGATTTTAAACAAAAATAAAACTGATCTATTTTTAGCAGGATGTAATGACGCAGAGAAGACGACTTTAAAAAACCAATCTGGTTTTCCTATTGGCTCCCTTCCGGTCAGGTACCTGGGTTTACCATTATTACCAAATCCGTTGACAAGATCAGATTGTGAGCCTTTCGTTCAGAGAGTTAAAAATAGGCTAGAAGCATGGCACATTAACACACATGTCTTACGCAGGTAGAGTTCAGCTCTTAACTTCTGTAATTCAAAACATCATTGCATACTGGTGTGCAGCTTTCATACTACCAAAAAGGTGCATCAAAGATTTGAATAAAGTGTGTCGAAGGTTCTTGTGGTCTGGATCTGCGGAAATTCCAAAGCAAGCTAAAGTCAGTTAGCTGAAAGTTTGCTCACCTAAAAAGAATGGAGGTCTCGGCCTTAAGGATATTGGTTTATGGAACAAAGTTTTTGGCCTAAAGCTGATTTGGCTTCTGTTCTCATCTTCTGGTTCTTTGTGGGTTGCTTGGTGTAAAAAGAACAAGTTGAGGAGAAAAGGTTTTTGGGAATTATCTTCAAGTAGGAGAGGTTCTTCAATGTGGAAACAATTCTTGCAGCTTCGACCTATAGCAAAAACTCTTCTAACTTGTGAAATCGGTGATGGTAAGACCTGCTCTTTTTGGTATGATTTCTGGACTCCCTTTGGGCAGTTGTACTCTTTCCTTGGAGCAGGTGCTCATCGGCTACTTGGTCTCCCTCTAGACTCCAAATTAGCTCAAGCAACTACAAGCGATGGTTGGATTTTCAATGGTGCAAGAAGTAATAACACAAAGCGGTTTTTATCATTCCTCACTACAGTCCACATCACTCATAATAAACCAGACCGTTTCCTTTGGGCTTCAAGTCAAGGAGAGCCAAAACAATTCTTCAATTTCGGTGATACTTGGCTTTTGATCAGGCCCGAGAGTGAGGAAGTTCAATGGCTTCGACAAGTCTGGTTCAAAGGTTCGGTCCCTCGTCACTCTTTCACTATGTGGCTTTGTTGTTGGAACAGGCTACCCACTCTCTCTCGGCTTTTCTCATGGGGAATTTTCGAAGATGATAGATGTTTTCTTTGCGGGATCTACGGTGAAAACATGGATCATCTTTTTCTAAGATGCCATTACAGCCATGAACTATGGGGCTGGTTGGTGAGAAAGCTAGTTTGTCTTTTCATAGGTTTCAGTACATGGCCTCATTTCCTTGAGTGGCTGCTCGTCCCAACTCAGAACACTTCTCTGGCCTTTCTATGGCTCATTTCGGCTCAGGCTATTGTTTACTCCATATGGCAAGAGGGAAATGCGCGAATATACAGAGGTAATCACACTCTGGCAGCTGGGCTGCTCAAGATGATCGATAGAGGAATAAGAAACACTTGCTCTACAAGAAGACATATTCCAAGGTTTACTGATGCTCTTGCATTATGGTTCCGAGACTCTTCTCGTTAGTGTTCTTCTGTTTTAGGTTCTTGTACCGGGCCATGTTCAAACCGGATTAACTTTGTCAATGTAAGACATTTCTATTTAATTTTATTTTACCATCTATGTAATCACGTCCTTTAAGATTAATATAACTCCCGAAATTTTAGCAAAAAATAGAGACTTAGAGTTGTTAGCTTTAAGAAATCGAACAAAAACACTATGGTGTGTAGTATCTCTATACCAAAAAACGAATAGTTAACTTTGGTTAGCGTTTAAAAAGAAATTTGATGGACGGAAATGATTAATCGTATAAGCAAATATGTAACTCATAAAGCGGTTTTGGCAAAATAAATTATGAACTCAAATGGATACCAAATTGGGTAGAGATTTGCGTTGTCCGTAATTGCGTTTGCGTTTTGCGAAACCCGCGCTTGCGTTTCGATTGTTGTAAAAGATATTTGTCGAAATAACCCGCGTGATTAAAAAAAAGTTATAGTTTAGTTACTCCATTAAAAACCGTTTATTACCGTCCAAGTGGATTCCTAAGCGACCGTACAACTCTCTCATGGCGGCGAAATCACAATCCCCTGACACGTCTCTGCTTCTCACTTCCTCCTTTTCTTCTCCTTCTCTACACCTGCTTGACTAAACCACGACTCTTCTTCTTCTTCTTTCCCTCCTCAAAGCAGCTATGACGACTCCTTGCCGGACCATAAACGCAAATGCTATCGCCGCGCCTTCGCCTTCGAGAATAATCTTCCACGGTTATCGCGATTTCGTCCCGATAGATAAGAGGCTCGTCAAATCAAGCTCTTGTGGCTTCAAATTCCCGAAGAAGATGACCACGACGAGCTCAGCTTGGAATTTTAGGCCTCCCGGGAGATTTCTCTCTACGCGCGTGGGGTCTGCGTCTGCGTCTGTCACATCGAATTCCACGAATAGATTGGAAGCTTTGGAAGAGGGGATTGAGAAGGTAAATGGGTTGATTCCAAATTCCACTTTAATCGCTGATAAACCGATGCAAAATCTTGAAAAACCTGAGGGTTCTGTTCATAATTTAAAGCTTAGTTTTTTTTAGGGGTTTGAAGGTAAAATGTTTGATTCCAAAGATCATAAATTTATATATGTTCGACAAAAAAAGCTGAGTTTTTTTAGGCCTAGATATGAATGGCTCAACAAATTAGAGAAACTGATGTTTTCTTTCTCAAAATTTTCAGATCATTTATAGTTGTCGATTCATGGCGTTTCTTGGAACACTAGGATCTCTGTTCGGATCGGTTCTATGTTTCGTCAAGGTAAAGGCTCCTTCTTTCTACATTATAGCTTCAGTTAGATGAAATAGTGTTGGAATATGCATAAGCTAGTTCCTGTCCTGTAATAGCAGATTAGGTTCTAATTCTTTGATTCTTGACAGTATAAAGATACTTACCTATTTGCAACTCGCAGAAGAAAGAAACACATTATACTCTCTAATTTCTATTTTGCTGTCTCTGTAACATTTGATCGGTGCAGGGATGTATGTATGTCGCAGACTCGTTTGTGCAGTATTCAGTAAATCGTGGGAAGGTGATATTACTTCTGGTAGAGGCCATAGGTGAGATAGCTTCAGCTTCAGATCATTATACGCACAAAAATTTCTTGATGTGATGCTGATGATATGCAAAATATTTGTAGATATATATCTTCTAGGAACTGTGATGTTGGTCTTTGGAATGGGACTTTACGAGCTGTTCATTAGCAATCTCAACACTTCAGAATCGATTTCGCACGATAATGCTTCCAATAGATCGAGTCTCTTTGGCATGTTCCCCTTAAAGGTTTTTGCTCCCCTTTTAACCCTTTTCTCGATCTTATAATCTGTCCTAAAATCTCATTTCTTGGTTCAATATACTAACACTTTTCAAACGGCTTTTAATTTCTCCAGGAGCGACCTCAATGGTTGGAGGTGAAATCAGTTAGCCAGCTGAAAACGAAGTTGGGACATGTGATAGTGATGCTGTTGTTGATTGGTTTGTTCGACAAGAGCAGGAAAGTTGCCATAACTTCTGTCACGGATTTGCTATGTATCTCTGTTTCTATCTTTCTTTCTTCGGCTTGTCTCTACTTGCTCTCTAGGCTCAATGGCTCACACTGAGTTAAATGGTGTTGCCCCAAAACAAAGGAAACTTTGTATGATGTATTGATGTGTATGTGTATAAGGTTCACGCAAAGTTTCACTCTTTTGTTCGTGTGTACTTTTTGCAAAACAGAAAATTCTCAATTAGTTAAGGATGTGAAGTGGGAACAGAACAGAAATTCAGAGAAATCAAAATACATGTACTTAATCCGTACTCGAACCGGCAATAGATTTTGTTATTAAAAGACATGTACTCTATACATTGACACACACAGTGTGAGCTACATGTTTGAATACACAGTGTGAGCTACATGTTTGAATAACATAATTCGCCAAATTTACAAGATATCTTCTCTGAGTCAAAGCCAACAAAAAAAAAAGGAAACAAAGCTCTATAGGAAGGAGAGACTAAAAACTAAAACTCCAAAGCACTAAAACTGAAACTTAAACAAGAATAGGTCCACGATCCTTTCCAAAAATATTTAGACGCTGGAGTTGCACCAAAAAACCAGAGACTCAAGAAGAACCAAGCTAATAGTGACCTCCAAAAGCCTGAAGAAATCGCAGAAGGCACAAAACCGAGCCCAAAACAAACAAACAATTTAGTCTGTACGCAATAATTTGACGAACATTAAATGTTTATATATTATATATATATGTGAAGAGAGAACACATTTAGCACGTAAAGACTCAAAAGTCTGAGATCATAACTTTTATTAAATTCCATCTACCCCATTATCAACTTGCATTGGACAATCGATGATATCAATGCACCTATCGTTTACATAAAAAAAAAGAAGGAAAATAAACTCTAAATCTTTGAGAAAATCAGAAACTTAATGGATGATAATGGAGGACAGGTATTGTTAACTGTACTGTCTTGGACATTCAATTCTTTTTGTTTTCTCTTTCTAAAGGGTCCAGTTTTGTACTCAGATCATATAGTCGTTGGGTCCTTTCATAATCTCTGGACTTTATTGATTCCATATTTATGATCTTCTTATATTATTACCAAATCCATCTTAAATAATCATTTGATATTATGATTTATCATTGAGTCCCATATCCATATCTGGCGACATTTCACATGTACGAATCTGCCTGGAGCTCTTCCGTCGAAATATTGTTCACTAGCTATTTTAAAGTTTTAGTATGATAATCAGCTTTCGACCAAAAAAAAAGGTATGATAATCAGCTTTTTATCATAAAATGTTAAGAACAAAATATTTGTGAAATTATTGGTAAGTACTGCTATCCCTTAATTTCATCTATAATGTAAACAATGTATTAACATTTTTATTGTTTCGTTTTAAATGATGTTTTCCTGAATTTGGATAGAATTGTAGTTTGTTTAGTATAGTGTAACTCTATTACAACAACATCAAATAAAACATTGTTCATCTGTCAGTACATAAAGTGTTGAAGATAAAGTAGTCAATTTATATATATTTTGAAAATGGTTTGCAAAACATCAAATATTTGTCAAACAGTACTATACGTTAATATAATTTACCAAGGTGTAGTAGATCATTGAGCAAAGTCGTAGTGTTTAAAATTTGAATACAATAACACAGCGTTTTTATGTAAACTTGAAAAGAGTGATTAGTTTATCACTTTATTATAGTTAGACTAATTAAGTATATTGTAGCAAATTAATGACCGTTTGTGATGTTTCAATCAATAATATTACTTGATGGATTTTCTAGAATTTCATCTTAAACCATTCATATATACAAAAGAGCTTATATATATATATTTTTTTTTTTAAAGAGCTTCTCATTTTTCGTCATATGTTCACCTAAATTTTTTCCTTTAATTTTAGATTAGTTTGAACTATATATATATATATATATATATAATATTACAGGTTTTGATCCAAGTATACTGTATACATGACTTATATTTTACTCTACAAATATATTTTGTTCACCTAGTTGTTGGAATGACCCCAAATTTTGTAATTCCTTTTGGGATTAATCCTACCCATCTTAGGATTTCTGTTGATCTCTTCTATATAATGTTGTCTATGTTTTAATATTTAGTTTTCTCCTCTATAATATTTCACCAGTCAAGATAGATTTTCAGAAATTTTGACTAAGTTGAGTTTCTTTTAAGAATGATATCCTAATTTTCTATTAAAAAAAAGTAACTAAAAAGCTAACAAATAATTGTATAATTATAATAGTTCGTTCAATAGAATTCGGACCAAACCTGTGTTGCTGTTACCAAACTATTTGATACGGTTCATGTATACATGACTTGTCCAAATACGTACTACACATTCCATTTGTATATATTTTAATTTAATAAGCCCGTGCTCTCTATATAAACGCATAACACACATACGTTTACCAGCCACAATAAAAGAAGAAAAATAGAATCTGGAGTAAATGGAAAACCAAAACAAAAGCTGCCTTCATAAAGATTCGACGGAGGCCAAATTAGACGTCGAATTTGGAAGTCTCCGGCATGAAGATGAAAAGAAACCGATCTATGCGAACTCACTGACGGCGCGTGAGATGGAATCTCTAGTAGCGATCTGCGATACTCTGATACCATCGATCGACGGGTCTGAAGTAGGACACGTGGATGATGGCGTCGCTGGATACTACTCCGCCTCCGCTTCTCAGACCGGAGCTCCCGACCGCGTAAGTGTGACATAAACAAACACGCATTTACATACTGACATACATGCCCAATCTTATGTGTTACACATGCATGAGACATAAACTGAAAGCATTTAAATCGCTCTTTCGACATATATATGATATGTCCTTTTTTTTTTGCGAAAAATCCAACTGTATATGTTGCATACATTATACATGCATATATATATATGCATATATAAACAAAAGAGTATATGGATATATGGCTAACCATATTTATAAACAAAAGAGTATATATATGACACATTTTAAACGTTTTAGGATGAATTAAATTTGATTCCATTTGTTTGCTGAAATATTTTACCTTCAAATGAATCTTTTTTTTTCCTTTTTTTTTATGCCCAGTAACAATCCATTAATTTGAATGTAGGTGACATTTTTGTTTGACTGTTTGTTTTTGCTAAAAAAAATTGACAGTTGTTTACTCTTTACAAAATATAAACAATATGAATGATTAGTGGGTGTTTAGTTTGTTATAGCAATTCCATATTTATATATTTCATTTGTTGAATATAGCATGACAATTTGTTTTTGTTTTTTTATATAAAGTTAGATATGTTATAAAGTTGCATCATTGCATGCATGTGAGTCATTGGTACTTTCGTCGCCAAAAGAAAAAAGAATCAGAAATTTAGATAACAAACCAAAACAAAATACAAATCAGTACTTTCAGTGAAATTTAGAGCCGGCAGATTTCGAGTACACCTAAATTCCATCGTCACAGATGCCAAATATATCTCAAAATAAATTGTCACAAAATCACTTTTTTCTGGGCAACCATTTATTCGTTCCTTACAATTATTATTAGGGATAGTATGGTAGTAATATCACTCCGATGACCAATTCAAATGTCCCTTTGTCTAGTCATAGTTACAATATTGGCACACAAACAAAAAATATTGAAACTTATCTTGTTATTATGTTATATTTCGTGCACTTTATTGGTCTACACTGCTTTATATAACAAGATAATAATAATAATAATTGGTGTAGACCTTTTGGTCAAGATGGAGATACATATATATGTATATATTGGATATATTTTTACTTTAGTTTTAGAGAATTCGTATACCAATTATAAAGTTTCCAATACCTTAAAAACGATTAGATAAAAGTCGATGCAGAGACTGCCCTCAACACAGCGACTGCTTAATCACCATCTTTGGCTGCAGATGGTCTGGCTAGCGATACCCACCTAATAGACTAATGAACCAAAACATTCAGGATCCAGTTTCAAACAAATCCAATTTATAATAACAAAAAGTGAATACTATATAGGTTCAATAAGCTAAATAATTATTTATTATGTATACTATTTTCGTCAATTTTTATTAAACCATTAATCCTTTGTTTTTTTTTTTTTTTGGTCAAACCATTAATCCTTTGTTATTTTGTCATAATAATTCACAATAATAGGTGGCGAGGTTAATTAGTGAGAGACTTGACCACCCAAAGAAGTGGATTTTAAGAGCTGCAATGTGGTCACTCTCCACTTGGATCGGAAGTCTCGTCTTGTGTGGTCGGAGAAGTTTCACCAGTGAGTTTCCTTACTTCCAGAGATTCTGCCGGCTGCCGGAGAAACAGAGAGAAGAGATATTGCTCAATTGGGCTTCAAGCTATTTCTTACTCCTTAGAATGCTCTTTAGGTCCATCAAACTTATCACTTCCCTTGTCTTCTTTACTCAGGTAAATAACTAAACCTTATATCTTAGTTATTCATATATATTTTTAATTACTTTTCCTAAATGTATAGACACTCCTTATGTTTCTTTAAGTTTGATGTTTTATACATTTTTTAAAAATAAATGCATTATTACCTAAGGTTTACATCATATTCACTTTATTTGGTATGAGTAAGTTACTAAGTTCTTTGTCGGAAAAAAAAAAGAGTAAGTTACTAAGTTTATAACATAAAACATTAAGTTTAAATATTCAAAATCTTTGTGAAATATAGATTTTCTTAAAAAGATTTCCAAATTCAAAAACAAAACAAAAAACTGAGGGAGTATATATTAACGGGACATTTAATTTGGGTTTCAGACCATCTATTCACCAAGTCCCAAAAGCATCATTTAATACATATACACATGCATGCGTAACTCATCTTTCTCTAAATTTAATGTCTTACACAAATTTGGGTCTTGTTTACACTTTTTAAGTTTTTATTCAATAGACCATATGTGGTAATGGGGTCTATATAATGGCCCCCATGATTTACCTGTGGACCTGTGAAAAGTTGCTCTTCAAAGAAACTCGTTACCAATTAAATGTTGGAAGGACATGAATATCAATTTGATATACCAAATTATTACTCCTAAACAAACGAATTAAGTTTTGACTTTTGATTTAATAACTGCAGGTTGATGAAAAAGGAAAGAACTTGGCGTGGAAAGCAATAGGATACAATGGACCCAGCTCAGATCACAGTGATCATGATGAAGAACTTAATGAGAAGAAGACGAAAAAGAAGAAGCCTGAGGAGATCTTTGGACCACTTTACAATGGCATCATCGATCTTAAAAACCCTAGAGAAGCCGTGGTAAAGAAGTTAACTGGTCACGGGTTCAGAGTTTTAACTCAAAAGAGGAATAAAAACGGATCATCCATTTCTGACCCGGTGATGACAATCCAGTGTGACGCCGTGGTGGTTGGATCTGGATCGGGTGGAGGAGTGGTGGCCGGAGTCTTAGCCAAGGCCGGTTACAAAGTGTTGGTGGTGGAAAAAGGGAATTACTATGCAAGAAACAAACTTTCTTTACTTGAAGGGCAAGCAATGGATGAGATGTACTTATCCGGTGGGTTATTAGCGACGTCTGATATGAACGTGGTGATTCTCGCCGGGTCTACGGTCGGAGGTGGTTCAACAATCAATTGGTCTGCCTCGATCAAGACACCGGAACATGTGATGAAGGAATGGTCGGAAAACTCGGAACTCGAAATGTTCGGAAGTGATTTGTATCGAAAGGCAATGGATGTTGTGTGTGAGAGAATGGGAGTTCAATGCGGATTTGTAGAAGAAGGGTTCAATAATGAGATCTTGAGGAAAGGTTGTGAAGAATTAGGGTTAACGGTGAAGAATATTCCGAGGAACTCTCCATCGGATCATTACTGTGGGTTTTGTTGCTTGGGATGCAAGAAAGGTCAAAAGCAGGGGACTTCAGAGACTTGGCTTGTAGATTTAGTGAAATCTGGTAATGGTTTGATCCTTCCAGGTTGTGAAGCGATGGAAGTCTTGTACGAATGCCAAAACGGTAAGAAGAAGAAGACAGCGACTGGACTTGCGTTTGCGTTTGAGGAAGAGGTTTATGTGGTAGAGTCTAAAGCGACGATAGTGGCTTGCGGTGCGCTTAGAACGCCTCATCTGTTGAAACGCAGCGGTTTGAAGAACCGTAACATTGGGAGAAACCTTTGTTTACATCCGGTGGTTATGGCTTGGGGATGGTTTCCGGAGGAGGAGAAATGGCCAGAGAAGAAGAAAAAGAGCTACGAGGGAGGAATAATGACCGCAATGTCTGGCGTTGTGAACACAGAAACAAAGACTTCTTATGGAGAAACAGTGATCCAAACGCCTGCTCTTCATCCAGGGATGTTCTCAGGGATCATTCCTTGGACATCTGGCGAAGAATTCAAATCCAGAATGCTCAAATTCTCAAGAACCGCGCACGTTTTCACGCTTCTGAGAGATAAAGGAACCGGAACAGTAAACTCCAAGAGCTGCATTGACTATAACTTAAACGATGAAGACGAAGAGAGTCTAAAGAAGGGTCTTGAGAGAGTCTTGAATATTCTGATAGCGGCTGGAGCTGAGGAGATCGGGACACATAATTCAGAAGGTAAGAGTTTGAACGTTAGAACAGCGAGCGAGGCAGAGATTGAGCGGTTTGTGAGAGAAGAGAGTTCAAAGGGCTTGAAGGATTTGGCAGGACAGATATGTTCAGCTCATCAAATGGGAAGTTGTAGGATGGGAATTAGACCAGAAGAATCTGCGGTGAGGCCAACGGGAGAGACTTGGGAGGTCGGAGGTTTATACGTGGCGGACACAAGTGTTTTTCCGACGGCTTTAGGGGTTAATCCGATGGTCACCGTTCAGTCTATTGCTTATTGTATTGGACTCAATGTTGTTGATGTTCTTAGGAGGAAGATATGATGTTTCATCTGTTTTAATTAAATTTTCGTTTTTCATATTAAATGAAAGTTTTTTTTTTTTTTGATAAAAATGTGTGAACTTAAAATTTAAGAATTTATTCATTAGAGTACCAATTAGCGACCACTTCCATTTTATGTTTATTGGTAACTCATTACTAGTAAAGAGTAAAGGCTAGTAGCAATTTAATAAATAAGAAAATCAAGATAAGTGAAACTAGATAATGTTTCCTAAGCTTTCATATATTCAAAGAAAAAGAAAGTAAATAATGTTTTAAGTTTCAAGTTGACGAAGAAAATTTCTCTGAGAAGTTGCCTCGCATAACCCACAATTTTTAGATTTGTGTTGTAAAGTATACGCCATCATTTATATGATTACAATTTACAAGAATATTCTCCTTTTGGATTTTTCCCACTCTTATTTAGTTGTAGAAATATACATATATATGTACGTGCGTCTAATGGATTAAGGCAAAAAATATTAGAAACTATGCACAACCTTTTTCTCTACTCAGTCGTGTTCTCTCTTGGTCTAGTTTCCTTCATCACATGTTTTGTAGCCGAGTTCATGAGAACAAAGGTACGACGTAGACTAACTTTCATCAAAATCCCTTTCTTTGTTGTGTTTCTTAATAAAAAATAATTGAACCAAGCTTCTGAAATACCCATGTTGTGTAGAAAGAAGATATTCGATGGGACACAGAGAGGAACTGTTATATACCAGGAAGCCATGCGTTTGGGCTCGGAACAGCTGCTGTTCTTTGCTTCTGTCTTGCTCAGATCGTTGGAAACATAGTTGTGTTCCGAAACCACAAGACACGAGTTAAAAGAGAAAATGGTTACAAGTTTACTGATCTCACTTTACCCACTGTTCTTTTGCTTCTGTCCTGGTAAAATATTACTCACCTCTGTCTTCTTCTTGACTTAAATAACTGGATAAAATATGTATGATGTATCCTATTAAAATTTTAACGGATGCTTTAAAATATGTGTTGATGATCGTACGTGTGTTCATTTCATGCCACAAATTTCCCATCTCATTCATGATCTCATTTAAATAATCCTGTTCGAAATTATTTATTTTATTCAAACGGGTAGGAAAAAAGTACAGGAATGAAATGGGGTACTATCCAAATTATATTTTCAGAATTACTAAAAAAATCTCTTAATTTTTTTTCTTACGTATGTGACAGGTCGAATTTTGTGGTTGTGGTTTTGATTCTGAGTACTGCGATAAGCATGAGCCGTGCTCAACCTTACGGAGAAGGATGGTTAGAGGAAGATTGTTACCTGGTCAAAGACGGTGTCTTTGCAGCTTCAGGCTGTTTAGCCATCTTTGGACTTGGAGCCTTGATCATATCAGCCACCAAGATCAAAGTAAACAACAAACAACAACTACTTGTGCAAGTCGTAATCAAAGACCAAGACCAAGAAAAATCAAAATCAGAACAAAAGCATGACGATCACCAAACGAACAAGTCAGAAACTGTCATTTACTTGGTGGAAGAAGCGTCTTCCACTACTGATGTGAGCAGGATGTAGATAAAAAGACGATAAAGAGGGATATTTACGGATTTTTAACATTTACAAAGTTGTATTTAATTGATTAATGTCTTTATATTGGGAATGTTGAATGGGCTATATATATATATAACTTTCCACCAACCACTTACTATATGGTTGGTCACATAGGATCCCATAAAAGAGTCAATTTCAACTTGTGTATAATAATTATATACATTATGCTACTTCCTTTTCTTTATCTCAAATTATTTACTTGCAATTAGGAAGATTCGGTCCCAGTTGCAACCCTACAAGCCACAATAAACGGTCCACATATCTCTGACTAATCTAAGGTCATAACAACATGGATAATGAAACGAACGTATGGGAGGTGCATCCACCTTGGACATATCTAAGTCAACCATGGTTGACCTTTCCAGATTGAAGTCATTTACCCAAAAGGGAATAGAGAAAACAAAACACTGTAAAAGACTTTACTTATATTTATGAAGACTTATCAGTGTTCTTTACAAAAAGAATCAACCAACATTCTCTAAAGAATCTTTAAGTAAAAAAAGGCAAGTTCATGAGACAAAAAAAGCACACATGAACTTACCAATGCATGATATGTGCCACCACAACGATATCGACTCAAGTAATATATCCAAAACAAAAACTTAAAGGTCTACTTGTCAATGCATGGTATGTGCATATTCGATATCGACTCAAGGAATATACCACTGAAATCGGATGGTGGTGGTGGTGGTAATTGATGTCTACTTTGTAAGTTATGCTTCACGGGTCTTGCGATAGGGCCACACGGATTGCAAGGTTTTCCGATAGGATCAAACGGATTGCGCGAGATCATGTAAGAAGATCCATCAATAGTATTAGCGTCTGTTTGATTGTTGTTTTCTTGAGGTTCCCATAACTCAAACTGCTTGAAGTTCTTACTCAATGCCTCAAATTCAATTCCTCCATTACTCTAAAACCCAAAACGAAAACGACAAGTAAAATTAGTTTTGGCATGGTGCTTTAAGAGATACAAAATGTTCACAAACAAGCAATTTCGATGCTTTTTTATGTTTGAGTTTGAGAGTCATCATGTAATCAAATGCAAGATATGCATGTTGTAATAAAAGAGAGAATGATACAAATATTATACCTGCCGAAGAGAAATGGGAACAGGGGGAAAAGTGGTAAAGAAACTTTTAGGAGTAATCAACACCCCCGAGGGAGATTTCATAGGAGCTTGATAAAGTGCACCATGATCAGGCATAGATTGGTAAGCAGGAATAGAACAAGGATCACAGAAATTTAAACCAGGATATTGCGGTTGATCAAAGGGATATGAAGCAATATCATTAACAGGTTCTTTGAATGAGGAAGAATAAGAATCTGTAGTAGCTTGTGTTTTGCTGCTGAGCTCTTCATTGGAGATCAATGGAACTTTCTGGCGTATCTTAGCACCGTGTTGATGATTGTGTGACGAGAAGATGATAGGGAGTGGTGGTTTTGTGGCATGAGAATGTTTACTACATGTAACTCCTCTTGCTAAACAACCGTAACCACAAAGCGTAGAGCTCGTTGGAGGAGGCTTAACTAGTACATATTCCTGCCAAAAAAACGAAAGTTTTAAGAGGTTTTAGCAAAACGAAAGAACCTCTTGAAACTGATTCCACATTATTGACACACACATGCAAGAAGACGAACCTTGATTTCGGTTCCCCTGAAAATAATGTAATTGTAAACGTCATAAGAAGGGGCTATTTGAAACCCTATATTGTTTCTTCCCTCTGTACCATAGCATCTCACTGCACAAAACATTCAAGAAACAAAACTTTTGCTTATTTGTCTATAGGAAACCGAAAGATTAGGTTTCAAGAAAAGGAAAAATCACTAACGTGGGGTAAATTAGGATCTTAGGGGGTTACGTACCGTTAAGAAGAATAAGCGTGGAATCATAGATATTGAAACCATAGAGAACTCCTTCGTATCTTAGACCGTAGTTTGAAGTCAGAGAGATAATGCTTCCTATGAACGATTCGACGGGAATTTGATTTTGTGGAGGATTAGGTAAAGATGGTGAAGACGACCCTGTCGAGGGATATTGCAAACTCTCAGTCACCATTATTCTTCAGCCAACAAAATTAGCGGGGATTTTTCGGAACAGAGGATATATGACTTTAGGCGATTAGGGTTCTGGTGCATATATATATTGTTTAATTTAAAATATATTGCTTTTGAGATTCATTTATATACGAAAGACAAACTGTATTATGGACCCATTTCCTTTCTCTGTGCCGGTTTGTTTACCATTTTTCTCAATTTCCGGTTTAAATCAAGTTCTCTCTTTTTTTTTTTTTTATGGAATTTTTCTCTGTTTCCAAATTTCCTTTTTTTTTTCTTTTCTTTCTTTTTTTTTTTTTAAATCCAAAAGGGATTCATAGAGAAAACAAAAACATGGAATAGAAAAATATGTAAATTCTTGAAGATTTATCAGTATTTCATAGAAAAGGAAAAAAAAGAAACAACAAACTCGAAAAAATTCAGCTAAGAAAAGGTAAGTTCATGAGACAAAAGAACACACATGAACTTGTCAATGATGTGTGCCACAACGATATCGAGTGAAGGAAGATACCCACTCCTTGAAACTTGGAGTTTTACATAATTCCCAAATCTCTTAACTAGATAAAAGAAGGTGTGACGGGTCTCGCAATAGGGCCAAACGGATTGTAAGGTCTCCCGATAGGCTCAAACGGTTTGCGCGAGATCATGTAAAAAGATCCATCATTAATAGTATGAGCATCTCCTTCATTGTTGTTTTCTTGAGGATGATCCCATAATCCATCAACAGAGTTAGCAGTTTGGTTGTTGCTTTCTTGAGGAGGATCCCATAACTCGTACTGCTTGAAGTTGTTAGTCATTGCCTCAAATTCAGATCCTCCATTAGTCTAGAACAACAACAATAACAAAAACACAACGAAAATTAGTTTTTGCATAGTGCTTAAGGTGTACAAAAAAAAACAAATACAATGCTCTTTTTGAGTTAATTATCATGTAATAAAGAGAGATTGATATGTACACATTACCTGACCAAGAGAAATTGGAAAAGGTGGAAAAGTGGTAATGAAACTTTGAGGAGCAATCACCATCCCGGAGGCAGCTTTTTTAGGAGCTTGATCAAGTATATCATCATGCATAGAGTGATTATAAACAGGATTAAACCAAGGATCATAAGGATCTGAACCGGGAAATTGCGGTTGATCAAGGGGATCTGAAGCAACATCATTGACTAATCCCCTTTCTGAGGAAGAATCAGAATCTGTAGTAGTTATTAGTTTGCTGAGCTCTTCATTAGTCTAGAACACACAACAACAAAAAAAGAGAGAACGAAAATTAGTTTTTGCGTGGTGCTTAAGGTATACAAAAACAAACAACATACGAGGTTTTTTGGAGTTAAAAGTGACATAAACATGTAATAAAGAGAGAATGATTTCTTTATATTACCTGACGAAGAGAAACTGGAAGAATAGGTGTAAGAGTGGTAAAGAATCTCTGAGGAGCAAACACTCTTCCCATGTATGATCGCATCATGTCGACAAAAGAAAGTGTTTGGTTGTAGGACTTCGAGATGCATGCCAAAATATTCATAACGATTTTCTTTGGTAGTGACAAAAACATCGACGAAGATGGTGGAGGCCGAGGAGGGTTTGTCTCGTTTGGTGGTTCCATATTAAAATTTGTCTTAAGTTAACACCGATGAAATCTTATTATGTTATATATATATATATATATATACATATATATCTACATATCCTTTATCACCGACCAAAAAAAAGAGTATATATCCCTTTAATTTAAAGGAAAAATACCAAAAAAACTTCAATTATTTAATTTTTGAAAAAAAACAAATATAAACTTTTAGCATTGTCAGAGAAATCACACAATCTATTTTTTCGATTCATAAAAATATCTAAATTTTTTAAAATTCCATTTTTCTCCCTCTGATTTCATGGCCGTTAATGAACATAACGGAATCAATAACAGCGCTAATTTTTTATAAAAAAATGCTAAAAAAATACCTTAACTATTTAATTTTACCATACAAACTTTTTGCGTTGCCAGAAATCCACGCAAACTATTTTTCGATCCATAAAAATACTTAAACTTTTTAAAGTTTCATTTTTTCTCCTCAAGTTTCAAGGTCGTTATGTTAGTTTTCGTAACACGTGCTAATTACTCAAGGATATACCACTATTACCCTTAGAAAATCCCCAAATCGATTTAGGGAAGAAAGACCTAAAGCCTAATTGTTTTCTCTCTTTTATAAATTGAGTGAAATCAGTTGAAAAATATGATTGGTAGTCTAAATCGAGTAAGAAACAGTGCGTGTTGTGATACATAAGAGTCTAATAAAAGCAATTCGAGGAGATAATCTATATGTTCTGAACATGATTTATTGCTCTACTAACCACATTTTCAATAGATTTTATTCAATTTCTGAAATAGTGAGAGAAAAATATTAGAATTTAGGTTTTTCTTCATAAGGGTAATAATGGTATTAATCCGATAGCAATTAAGACGTGTTATGAAAAACTAACGCAGTTTTTTTATTTCTGTTATGTCTATAATGACCATGAAATATGAGGAGGGAAAATAAAACTTTAAAAAGTTTGGGTATTTTTAAGGATCAAAAAAATAGTCTGTGTGAATTTCTGGCTATGCAAAAAGTTTGTGTGAGTTTCTGGCAAAACTAAATAGTTAAGGTATTCTTTTAGCATTTATTCCTACAAAAATTTAACGTTGTTTTATTGATTCTGTTATGTCTGTTAACAGCTGTGAAACTAGAAGGGAGAAAATAGAACTTTAAAAAATTTAAGTATTTTTATGAATTAAATAAATAGGTTGTGTGGGTTTCTGGCAATGCTAAAAGTTTGTGTGTTTTTTCCAAAAATTAAATAGTTGAGATATTTTTGGCATTTTTTCTATTGATTTAATAAAATTATCAAATCAAACCAAATCAAAGCCGGTTTGATCATATTTTCCTTTTCTTTTTTATCGTCAACTTTGATTACAAGATAAACCACGTAAGAATTTAGCATCTATTGTATTGGTAAATAAGTTAGCAAAAATATCATGGTTGAAATGATTTTATAACTCCAAACAGATCAAGTACATAAACATATACACTCTTAGATGTCTTATTAAAAAGTTTTAAAAAATTATCTATGTTATATGCAATAAATGTTTTTGAAAAATCAGTTTATAAAACCAAAAACCGAAAAATAAACAATTAGATGATTTGCCGTTTGACCATTAATATTACCTAGCGGTTTGATTTGATGATCGTTATAAGTTATCAAAAATTTCTCCAATACACAAGTTAAATTACCAAGGCTTTAATTTAGATAGTTAAATTAATAAACCTGCAATTATGATTAGTGTCTTTGAGGATCTTGATTTTCTAAAGCTAGGTACATGTCGACTAGGATCTTGATTGTTTTAAGATTTGAGTTTTTTTATATATTAGTTTTGAGTTCTATGTTTGTTAATACTCTTGGACAGTTGGCCTTGTTATGACTTGGATGGTACTTTGGTCAATCTGCTAACCTTTTCCCTTATGTTACTGTGTCTTATTATTATCTCTATGTTAAACCCATCTTGTATGTTTTTGTAACATTTATATATCATCTCAATCTAATTTAAGACCGTGTTAATAGCTCTGAGTTGTCTTGTTACCGTCTTACTGACGCCTATCCTCGCACTTATCAGAATTGCCACTTTACTAATCTAACTACATAAAGCCGAGGCTTGAGTTGTATTGGTCGTTCAGAGGCTCAATCCCCAAGTGCTAAGAAACGAAACTGCTGATGAGAGCCACTTAAGCTTGATTCATATACCTCATGTCAATATATATAATTTATACTCAGTCGATTATATGTGGTAGCTAGCTACTTAAGCTTGACACTTAAGCTTGATTCATACCTCATGTCAATATATATAATTTATACACTGTCGATCATGTGGTATCTACTTAAGCTTGACACTTAGCTTGATGCATACCTCATGTCAATATATAAAAATTATACACTGTCGATTATGTCGTAGCTACTTAAGCTTGATTCATTTCATGTCAATACTCATAAACTATATATATACCTACTCGTAATTCATATATAATTTGAGATCTAGCTACCTAATCTTTATTCGTGTTTCATTTAGTTGTTAATGCTGATAAACAAAAGTATCAATCAAGATATACTACTAAGACAATTATAAACCATGAATTTTGCTAGATGTCCATGTTCGAAAAATAGGAAGATCAGTAAATTAACGGGAAAAAAATCACATAGTAGATCACAGCAGTAATTACACATAACGCAAGGCAAAAGTGTAAACACAACACCAGCGCATTTTAGTAGTTTACCATAGTTGCACTTGGGACTATCATCGATGGCCACAAGGGCGATGTTGGAGATGTGTTGATGTCATAGGAGGAAACTCAGATTGGTCATCACTTGAGGATTCTGGATAAAAATTGATCTCAAGATCCTGAAAAAAAAAAAAGGTCAGAACAAGTCAGACTAATTAATGTAATAGCAGAAGATAGGTCATTTCCATTTCGAAATCACATTTTACCATGATGTTTTTGAATCTGAAATAGATTGGATGAGTAATCTGTTTGCAAGTTTCAAGTGCTAACATTTCTTCCTCTTCCTTCATTCAGTCGCATTTCAGTATGCTGCATGCAAATTTAGATGAATCAATAATAGATTTCTGGTTTCTTGCGAGAAAAGAAATCGGTTTAACTTGTTCTCACCTTCTCTCATGATTAGCCATTTTTTATGGGGATTAAAGTGTATAACTATCATATCTTACTTTGTTATGACAATGAAAACATTTTCATCGAGATAGTCTATATTGAGATCCTGGAAACAAAAAACTTGTAAACTTCATATATATGGTTTTACAGTCTCAACAAAAGTAATCAAAATAAAATTAAATGAAATTTTCCATTCAAATAACCTTGATGTTATTTCCTTTATAAACATACTAGGAATTAACCCGCATATTATATGGGGTAATATTTTTTTGAATTATTTTTAAATTTAATTTAATTTTATTGTT